TTTAAATTGATAGCTCTTAAACAATCATCAAAGTAAAAGAACTACTATTCAAGATCCTAAACTAACTTCGTTTTAAAAAGTTAGGGCTTGGAAGGCACAGCGTTTGTAATCTACACAAGTATAAAATATAATATATGTAAGTATTAGCAATATTAGAAATGTGAATATCCTTATGTTTGCAGGTTTGTTATCCAATCACGTTAAAACAGCTAGATGAATTTTAATGAAATTTTATTTAATGAAATGTAGATTAATATTATATCTAGAATTTATACTATATTCCACACGAACAGCACTGCGGGATACAGCTAATATAAATGTAAAATAGCTAAGGTAAATGAAAACCAAGTTTCGGTTAAAGTAAGATGAAGACCTGACGACACTAAATTAGACTAGAATCCCGGCCGTATAAAGGCACTTTATGTCATAATTATAAAAAGAACACTTTGTTAGAATATGCTTAACAAAAAATGGCGACCTTATCCCGAAAATCAATCTGTCACAGAGATATCCGAAGCCGTAAATCTATTTAAAAAAGACTAGAATCCTTGAGGCATACCCACTTACAAATTGCCAGCTATAAATTTAAAAATTTCAGTTTCGAACTCCAATTTTAAAGTTTACGCGGAAGTTCCTGTACCGCTTGTTGTTGTCAAGTATAAACCATTTTGAACAACGTTGTGTTCGTGCTTGAAGCAACAACAATTTTCAAGCACGTTAAACTACTATAGCCGCTGTTACAGTTCTATCTCAGAGTCGACAAAAGCTTTAGAGAAACTGTAAAACAAACTTGTGATCTCGGTCTTCTTGCAATGCTGTCTTTTTATAAATTTACAAAACAATCTAAGGTACGATTTTGTTAAAGAAGAATAATATTCTTACTGCAAATCCAAATATAATCAAAGACATTATTTGTACCTACTCATTATCATAGATTAACAAATTATTTATTTGCATCTATTTTTATTTAGAATCCAAATTAAGTTTGAAATTGGAATGGCTCTAGATTTAAATTGAGAACCGTTGCTTATCTACATAAGTAGCACCACAGATAATACAGAATATATTGTGACCTTTTGCGTGGATTCAATTATCGTACCTCAGTAGTTATTAATTTTCCATTTTAGCAGGAGGTTACTAAGCAAGTGGTAGCGAGATTTCAACGACTGGACAATTCATCAAAAGACATCTGCATGAGATGTGGGTATCACTGTCTCACATATCTCAGCTACCAAACAGCTTGTTTTGTAAGATGTGTTTCGATTGAAGAGTGAGATAAAGCAGTAAATTACAGGATAAGAAGGATGTGACATTATAGTCCTGAGAATGGCAACGCATGAGTAATATCACGACCGTCACATGATAACGTGACGTACTGTTCATTTATACAAGCGTTGTTGGAAACTGTTTTATAAACCTTTTTTTATTGTTTATATTTTTTATAATACTACTATATTGTTTTTACATATGTGACAAAGTTATCGGTGCCGTTTTTATTGCTCGTCTCGTCTTGATCTCCTTCTTTCACCGGCGTATAGACCGTGACTACTATCATATGGGACATATATATGGATATGGATCATATGTGCCATTCCAGGTATATAAAAAATGCGATATTTCTAAATATTCTTTTCTAATAATCTTTTTATAGCTTTACTGGACAAATTACTAAGCTGCTTAGCGACAGAAATAGATATGACAGACTCATTAAACTGAAGCTAGAACTAGTGAAGTTTGGGCACATTTCAAAGAGAATATTTCAATTCAAGATGACAAAATAAGCCTACCGTCGTCTTTCAAGATTAAGATCAATTTATTTAGTATCGGGGAGTTATTTAGAAATATATACTACATACAAAACCTTTTTATTTATTGTCTATTCAGTAGATTTAAACTACATATTGAATATGGCAACTTTTTATACGGCAATACTGCTTGTTCCGGTAGCCAACCAATCTGCAATAAGTGCCTTGTAATGTGTTCTCGTAAATTTAAATCATTATCTAGAACCACAACTGCCTTTCACTTCCATTTTAACAGGGTTTATAAGTAATATTCTTGATACTTTTAAACTTTATTAAATTTTTTAACTTTACTCAAACTATCCCATCTGGCCTGAAAATGTCTTGAAAAATCAAATGTCCTCAAAGTATTTTATTAGTAGCTATTACTCGCGATTTTGTCTGCCAAACAATCATTCCCTTTATTTTTATAGCATTTTTTAGCATGAAGATACAATCCATTTATAATGTCAAAATTCGTTAATTCATTCCAATTAGCAGTGCAAACAAAAAGTCAGACAGCCATACTATATCATATATATATATATATATAGATAATATATCATTATAATTAATTATAGCCTTTTATTTATATATATATATATAAATTAAGTTTAATTATATATACATTTTATTTAATCTTTTTTTTCGTTTGCTTGTTTTTTATATTGTAACATTATTGAAAAGCACTGAATTTTTTTTTTTCTTTCTTTCTTTATTCCGACGTAACATTTTTTTTCTGTCTTGAGTAATTCTAGTCCATAGTTTCCTGCCGTTTTAACTATTTAATGTTACCATCTTCTTTTTGGTCGTCCTCTTTTCCTTTTTTTTTGGAACCAAGTAGTTATGATCTTGCTCCATTTTATCATTTCCACGTAATATATGTTATCGTTCTAAATGTTTGGTGGTTTAGTGTTTCTATTTTAAACAGCCACATTTTTAATATAGATAAAAAAGATCATTAAAAAGTCTCATCTAGAAATGTATACGTTCACCCTTAACGTGTTAAAATTGACCAGCAGGTTGTAAAAGTTAAATATAATTTTAATAAAGCATAACTTTGAAACAATCCTCCCGTACCGTTTTGGTGGCTGGCTCTCCCTTAATATTTCATTAAATAAAACCAACTTGAACCCAAGGTATCCGAGTATGACTAATGAAAAGTATTTATTTGTAATAATTTATTTAAACTAGCTGTACCCGCGACTTCGTCCGCGTGGAATTTAACTTTATTTTTCTAAAATAAAAGTAGCCTAAGTTACTTCTTATTACATCAGCTACCTACCAAAAAATTCCCGTCTAAATGGGTCCAGCCATTTCAGAGATTAGCCGGAACAAACAGACATACAGACAAAAATTGTAAAAAATGTTATTTTAATGTATCTACCGTATTTATATTTTATTTATTTATTTATTTATTTAAACTTTATTGACCAGTAAATTATGGTACAAACGGCGGACTTAATGCTATAGGCATTCTCTACCAGTCAACCTTCAGGAAGTGCAGAAATACTTGATGGTGGCTTAACATTGATTATATAAATAACATATATACAAATATTAGACTAAACTAAAACTAAACAAGAATAGAATACACACGAATATTATAACATATATACACAACATACATACAATACATAATATATATACATACATTCAATATGATGAATACATTACTTGCTCTATGACAATAAACTTAGAAGATGAGCATGAACATTTTTTTTAAAAGTATACTTATTGGAGATAGTTTGAATGCGTTCAGGGAGTGAGTTCCAGAGCCGTGAAGATTGTAGACCAAAAGAATAAGATACAAAATTAGTTTTATGAAGAGGAGTTTGAAGTAAAAGAGAGTCTTTAGAACGTAGTTGGCGGTCATGAGAGTCCCGGAGATATTGAAATTTGCATTTCAAATATTCCGGGGAAGCAGGATCAAAAAGAATTGAGAAAAGAGTGCAAAGTAACCGCTTTTGCCTACGCTGACGTATAGGGAGCCATTTAAGTTGAGAACGGTGCAAAGAGATGTGATCATATTTACGAAGGTTGAAAATGAAGCGAATAGATTTATTCATGAGCCGGTCTAACTTATTGAGAAGATCTTCATTGAGATCAGGATAACACACATCGGCATAATCAATTATAGGAAGAATGAGAGACTGAACAAGAGTAATCTTAGTTTTTAAAGGAAGAAAATTTCTAAAACGGTTTAGTAAACGCAAAGATGATGTAACTGTGCGACTAATATGCAGAATCTGTGAGCTCCAACTAAGTGTAGTATCTATGTAAATACCGAGATCTTTAACGCTTTGACTAAATGGAATAACTGAATTTTCGAATATGACAGGTGCAACAGTACTTAAGTCAATTTTGGCTATCTGATTTGAACTCCCCACAATAATTGCTTGACATTTTGTTGGATTAACTGAGATTCCAAAGTTATGAGACCAATTACTTATGTTTTGTAAATCTTTATTAATATTCGCGATAGCAAAATTTAACCTGTCAACGCATATTTGTTCATATATTTGCAGATCGTCTGCATAAAAGTGGAATGAACAGCCAAGATTGAAGGACAAAAGGTCAATAAATATGGAAAACAATAGAGGGGACAAAATTCCGCCTTGGGGTACACCGGCCAACAAATCAGCCCAATCCGATAACTCACTATCAACTTTGACTGCCTGTTGACGGCCCCGAAGGTAGGTAGAAAACCAATCCAAAACTGAGGATGACAACTTTTGGTATCGCAATATGGAAATAAGAATATCGTGATCGACCATATTGAATGCATTTGAAAAATCAATAAGCACTAGTATAGTGACCTTCTTATCCTCCATACCCATGCGGATGTCTTCAGTAACTTTAAGGAGAGCAGTAGAGGTACTATGTCCTGGACGAAAACCTGACTGAAAGGATGTGAGGAGGTTGTTATTTAAAATAAAAGAGGAGATTTGTTTATGAGCGGCAGCCTCAATAACTTTAGATAGGAATGGTAAAATAGATATTGGTCTGAAATCTGTTAATTTGGTTGGGACTTGAAGTTTAGGTAAGGGAAGAACAAACGCTTTTCTCCAGGTACATGGAAAAGTGCTAGAGGAAAAGGAGAAATTGATGATATGAGTCAAAATAGGTAAAATTTGATGGATAATAAGTGAGATCATTTTACGGCTTATATCATCACAACCAATTGCATTTGATTTCAGAGTCTGAATAATTTTATAGGTCTCATCCTCAGTAATTGGAGTAAATGAGAAGGAATCTATGTTAGGTTGGGCCAAAGAAGCAATTTTAGAAATAGTATTTAATTTTATGGAAGGGTTAAAAAAGTTATTTGATGAAAAATGTTCATTTAATTCATTAGGAGAAAAGGAAGATAAACTAGAAGGGTTGGAACATTTACTAAAACCAAGAGAACGCAGAAACTTCCAAATATTGGCCGAAGAAGTGTTAGATAGATTGTTAATAAAGTATTGACCCTTCGCCCTCCGCACAATCTGGTTACACCTATTTCGCGCCGTTTTGTATAAAATCCAGTTATTATCGCACCGGTCACGTTTATATTTACGAAACAATCGATCTCGCTTGGTCATAGCCATACGTACTCCACGTGTAATCCATGGTGCAGGTGGTCGTTTTACCTTAACCGCCTTTAAGGGCGCATGCTGGTTGTACAATTTTAAAATTGAAGTATTAAGATAAGAGACTTTATCATCAATTGAAGATGAAGCTAGTAAAGGAGAAAAGTTTAATTTGGAAGCATCATCTACTAATTGTTGTACAACTATATCCGCGAAATTACGCATATGTACTATGGTGGGCTTCTTTTTTGGTGGTTTTAATTTGTATTGAAGATAAATAAGATCATGTTTTGAGAAGCCCGGGGCAGATAATTGACCATGTTTCATAACATGTTCCACGGAAGATAATATCATTAAGTCGAGCCATGTGTCGGAAGAAATCAGATTATGATGAGTAGCTCCAGAAGGTAGAATATGCAGATTTACTGACTCGATTATGTGTAAAAGTTTTTGAGTGAGTGGTGTATTTTTTAACAAGTCAGTATTGAAGTCACCCATAATTATCTGATGTGTGTAATCCGAAGCCACAGTTTCTAAAAGAGATTCAAGTTGAGAGAAATAGTTGACAGTAGGGGGACAGTAAACGACTCCGAGAACCACTTTAACGCCTTTGACGAGAACCTCTAAGAAAATATACTCTGCATTTGCATTATAATTAGGGTTCGATGTGGATATAATTGAGTACGGGAAATCACTACGCAGATAAATTGCAACGCCTCCTCCACCCTTACCAAGACGGTCATTTCGAATCAGAACAAAGCCTGGTAAACAATAAGCATAAGAAGAGAGTGTAGGTTTAAGCCAAGTTTCCGATATCAAAATTGCATGGAAGGGGGAAGAGGTGGGAAAAGCATCGAGAAGATCAGTGTGATGAGATGGGATGCTTTGTGCATTTATATGACATACATTAAAAAAAGACGAGGTTCTTACAATTTCGTCCTGAATTGTGTTATACAAAGTTAGAGGTTCATAGTAAGACTCATTCGAATCCGAAGATGTAGTGGTGTCAAGAGCAGAATAGAACGATTCATCATTGGACATATTACGAGTAAATAGATAAAATAGAAACAATATAATATATAAAAATATAATATATATGTATATAAAAATATACCTATAGAATTATCTAAAAAAAAAAAAAAGTACAATTATGTATTCCTGCATGTCCTGCCAGCTGTTACATTTAAAATTAATACACTACATGATAGTAGTGAGTGAACAGAAATAATAAAAAAAAAAGACTTATTACAATGGTAAAATGGACAAAATAAAATAAAAGTAAGACTATATATTCATATGAATGTAATAAAAAAACGGTTATTTCAATATTACAAACAGACACTCCAATTTTATTTATATGTATAGATAATACTTGTAGTAATAATATTTATGGAACTGTAACGCAAGGTGTACTCGGAACTTAATGAAAATATATTGACTTGATAATTTATTAGCAATAATACTTATAATCTTATTAGTATTGTGCCTCGACCAGACTCAGTCTAATCACTCCTCTCCATCTAAGGTTGCCAGAAAGTCGCTATTTTGCGATAAGGCGGCCGATTGTTACCTCTGTATTGTAATTATGTTTTTATAGATGATATTCATATTAGTTTATGTAATTGTTATTTTCTATCGATGAGAGGTACAAAAAATAGTTTTTTTTTATTTTATTTTCATTTCATATGTCAAGAATACAATTGTTTATATCATGCGAGGAATCGTACTCGCTACCATTGGAAATAAGATGGTATACTAAAACAGTAGACTACTGAGGCCGTCGAGTAGACCGAAAATGTCTCCACAATAAATGACCAATTTTAAAATAAATTTTGAGAATACTATTGAATTCAATATTCGATTCCAGATTGCTTGTATGTAACAATCATACTCATGAATACTATTGTTTATATCATAATGTGAGGAATCGAACCCGCTACCATCGAAAGTAAGATGGTATGCTAAACCAGTAGAGCACTGACCGTGCTAAAACCCAAAACTTTGAGAGCATTATTGAATTCAACATTCGATTCCAGATCCCGGATCCAATTATCCATAATGTCTTTTTCGCGAAAATTTATTACGACTAGCGCAGTTTTTAATTTGGTCATTTTCCGATTCAGTAAAAAATACCTACTTTGAATATTACTGTAGAATTTATATAGTGTAATATGGCAATGCTATTTGTTTTTGGCAACATTAATTCTGTGTTGGTGGTAACATCGATACATATATATACAATATACATACTATAATAATATTGTAACAGGTATTTGTACAATATGTAGGATATTGTACAAATACTGAAAAAAACTAAAAAGCATATCTTTATTATATCAACAGAAGAAAAAACAATAGTTTTAAAAATTTTGTCTCTGTTTGTATTGTACGTAATTTTTTTTTAAATACATATATAATATACATAAAATCAACAACGGCCCAGAGGAATAGCTGATTGCTGAATAGAGGCCGATTTACATTACATTACAATAACAGAAAATAACCAGTCCGATAGAACAATCTAGTTACATAAATACAATTGTTCGCATCGTGCGAACAATCAAACCCACGACCATCGCAAGTAAAGCGGTGTGCTAAACTACTAAACCACCGAGATCGGTGAATAATGATTTCTATATACATTGTTAAATAGTTTCGCACTTTGAAGATACGTGATAACAGCGTCGTCGATTGAAACAAAAACAGCAACAGCTGTTACAATGTTCGAATATAGTTTAAACTAAGGATTTGCTGCTTCTTCGTCTGCTTTTTCTGTCACGAAACATATAGTAATAATACGGTAATATAATAATAAGGGTAGGGAAAAAATTCTAATACAAAAAAATACTAGATTTAATCGTAAGCCGCTAAAATATCCTACATTAAAAAATCATTATAATATTGGTTTTGGTTTTTTTTTTAAATTTTATACAATATTTACACATTACATTGTTTCCTGGTACCTAAACTAAATAGAAATCTGTATTTTAGGTACCAGTTCCCTGCTCTTACAATTTACAATTATTGGAATTACAATTTACCGAAAACTTAACAAAAAGCCATCTTACTGCATAGTTTCATCAAAATCCGTTTTGTAGAATTGCACGAAACAGAAACAAACATCCATCCATCCATACTCACAAACTTTCGCGTTTATAATATTGTAAGATGTATTTCAGTCTGACATCTGTCTCTTTGTTATCTTAACGTTTGACCGAATTTTAATGAAATTTGACATGAAGACAGCTTGTATTACAAAGATGGATATGGGTTTTCTATTATACCTAAAAAAGCAGAAGATAGCATAAGATACGTCAGTCAATAAAGAAATCATATTTAAAAAAATATGAATGAATGAATTAATCTGTTTATTGTTCCTCTCATAGAAAATACAGTTATGTACAAAAAGATAAATAATAAAGCACAGAAAGATGTAACATCGGGCGGCCTTATCGCTAAAAAGCGATCGCTTCAGGCAACCTTAGGATGGAGAGAAGTGATTAGACTTGCGTATGGTAGAGGTGTAACTAGGATAACAATACTGGGAGAACTATTATTAATATAAGTATACATTCAAAATACAAAATAATATTATAAAGTTACATACAAAAGAATATGTATACAACAACAACATAAGAATGTATATATGAATATACATACAAAATACAACAGTACTATTACGATAACTTATGTAAATAATGGTTTTTAAAACCTAATTAGAAACACAGCATTGATTCTAATCTTCGAACTTCGAAAGATGTTGGCAGATCGTTTCAATGAAGAATAGCCAGTACACTGAATGAATTGTCATAGAAGGTACTGCGATAATACATATGTTTGTGTTCTTCGGACTACTCTAATGCTGTTGGCCGCAGCTGGCCTTTACAGCTTCACCGAACGATAGGAGGCGAGTGCAGATGGCACTCCAAACCCGCGGAAGGACTTATGCCCGACGACATAAGTGACTGAAGGCCAACTCCCGCCTGACCGATTCGGTTTTAGTCTGAGGGCATCGCTAGTGGTTGGAACCTCGGCTCAGACCATCGTAATTTGGATCCCTGTTTGAATTGGACAGGATATCGATCGGAGGGGTGACTATTTGGTGCGTTTGAATGCATATTCAAAAAGTATTTAACTTAATAAGTTTCGCGGGCAATATACCTTCAATTAACCGTAGTCAGTGCCAAGCTTTATATATAATATATACATAAATACCTACATAATGATGTTATGTAAAGCATTTACCGACTACAAAGGTCACGTGATAGTCGTTTGCATAAATTAGCACATTGGATTATGCACAGAGTAGCTAAATATACAGAGTGTAAGCTTGGTCACTGGAAACTCTGGGGAGTGCTATTAGTCAAATAGGGCCATTAATAATTCCCTTACCAGAGGTTGTATGAAAGAGATAGCATTAGCGAGAAGAACAATGGGTCTTTTATGGCAATGGATATAAAATTTTACAGTAAGATACCAAAGGATATGCTGGAATAACATTTAAATAAATGACTAAAATTATATTTATTACTAGTATTTACATAACCTAATTGTACAACTAAGAACCTAAAATTAAAAAGCTTAAAAAAATATAATATGATGACTAAAATATATTATTAAAGGCAGCGTTCCCTCTTTGAATAGCTAGACTAATTCTTTGTCCAAGGTAGCTGCCAGCTATTTAAATATATTTAAAACATCTGTTAAATCATATTCACTGAGCAAAGCCTATTACTACAATTCGCTAAACGATTACTGAAATTACTTTGTTGAAAGCTACAATGTCTACATTCGTAGACTAAGATAGAGTAGTTACATTGTGAGTACAATTAATAACATTATTCGCCCAATTACTGGCAGATCTAATTAACGACCGCGATTTCATGCCCCTTATTCCTACACGTTTCTATTACTTACCTATTTGAGCTGATATATTAAGTTCATACATTAATCACACAGAGTATTAAACATAAACAGAGTGAAAGCTTTCCAACCAGTGCTAACTCCGGAAAGTTAAAAAAAACGGTCGACGCCCACGTGACACCCATGGTGTCTCAGGCGTCCATAGGTTAGGGTAACCATTTACCATCAGATGTGCCGTATGCTCGTTTGTTTGTTTGTAAAAGAAATAGCAACTATAACCTATGACAAATACGGTTGATATCAGATTATACAGTGAAGTGTTACATAAATTGTAATTAGTATTGATTTGTTAACTGAACCAGCAATTTTGTACCAACTGTGTTCTAAATAACAATTGATTATAAAAATAGTTTGTAAAGTGATTGGAAATAAAGCTAATATTAAGGTTTTGCTCAATAAATATGATTTAACAGATGTTTTCAATTTATTAAAAGGTAATTCCATCCTTTGGTATTTTATTGTAAATTTTTATACCTATTCCCATAGACCCATTGACTTTTCTAAATGATACTTAGGAACAACAAGTTTGCCTTTAAATATAGTATACATATTATTAATATGGCTGTTTCTTGTAAATAAGTAACATTAAGTATTCTAAATTAACGTAATTATTGATGACTACAGCACAGTAAATTTAATTAAGTCTTGTTATCAACAGCCTTTCAATCACTTATATTTTGTAGAACTTAATTAATATTACAAATTTATTATTATTAACATTTCAGCGTTAATTACTATTTGAAATTTAATACTAGCTAACCCGCGCGACTTCGTCTGCATCACACTTATTATTATATATCCCCCAATTTATATAATATCTTTTTAAATTATAGCCTATTCGTTATTCTGATATATAAGCTATGTTACTGTAAAGTTTTATCAAAATACGTTCAGTAGTTTTTGCGTGAAAGAGTAACAAAAATCCATCCACAGTCACAAACTTTCGCATTTATAATATTATCTAGTAAGATTATTTATCTATGATTATATATATATATTTATTAGGGATATTGTACAGAGGCGTCTGCTTGGGTACCTTTCTCTCACCAAATTCAGGTGCTAAGCTGCTTATTTTATAGGATATGTTATAGTCGAAGAGTCAAATATGGCAGTGAATTTATAGGGTATGAAGTATATTTGTTAGTTCTTCAGAATGGCAAAGCTTGAGGTAATTAGAAGCATAACGTACATTACATATCGTAGAGTTCTCACAAACTGCTTTACGGCTACTTTTTCATTTGTGAGATAGAAGCGACAACACATAGACACAGACGACTTTATACAAAGTCAACTTCTGGCCTACAGCTATTATAAAAGTGGTTTCATGTGCCTTAGCATAGGCGATTTAGCAAAATTTGCACAAAATCGCTTATTATTTGTTTTATGTTTGCATTTCAATTATTTATTTTCACATTTATGTCATTATTAAGTGTGTAAAACAATAAAAAAAAGCATTACGCACTACTATGTACTTGACTCACACGCATATACCATTTAGTTTATTGTCAGTCTATGGTCCAACTGAGAATAGATTAATATTGTTTGTCTTTAATATTATTTGTCTATAGTCTTATTGAATTTCAAACCTAACCATAATAAATTCAGTACCTAATTGCAATATAATTATGGTCGAATTTCGACCACCGTTAGTAGTAAATATATCAAGTAGTAAAATATGTTTTCATAATATTTTTTTAAATTTTTCATTTTCAACGATAACGATACATTTTCATCACTAATTAAACTGTACTTTTATGTAACACCCAAAGCACTAATTGGATGCGGCATGCGGTGACGTATACAAGGCTGTAATTTATTCTTTTTAATTACAATGTAATTAAAATGTCAATTTCATCCGACAACACACAACCTACATGTCTTGAAACAAATTAAGGTCATTTAATAGGTATATGAATTCATACATTAAAATTACATATCTAAATTATACTATTAGGTAATCTGCGTGGATTATGTTTTTTTATGTAATTAGATTCGGAAATAGTATGTGGTAACTGTAACCATAAAGACATAAACAACACCAAGGACAACATCATGTAATGTGCACGGTACCACTCGTGCCATTCTAGAATATTAAGGTGATATGCCTCCAGATGCTGTAATTACATTGCTATATCTCATTGTTCAATCAATTACCGCTTCAAATGCGGGCTATTTGGCGATAGAAATATGTAAGACTAACTATGCCTGCGGCTGCATCCGCATGAAATTTATAGCCTGTGTTATTCTGATATATAAGCTATATTAATGTAAAGTTTCTTCAGTAGTTTTTTCGTGAAAGAGTAACAAACATTCATCCATCCACCAGCGGTTGCACCCACGTCATATTTATAGCCTATATTATTCTGATGTACAAGCTATATTACTGTAAAGTTTCATTAAAATCCATTGAGTAGGTTGTTGCGTTAAAGAATTATAAACATTCATCCATCCATCCATCCACACTCACAAACTTCCACGTTCATAATATTAGTAAGAAGTAAGATAATTATATAGTGTAGATATAGTATGGAAGTAAAGGTACCCAAGCAAACTTTATACAAAGCATATCTCTGTTAAACTTGGTAATAAAATAATAAAAATGGCCATTTAAAACTACTTCAATTAAACTTATGGAGTAAATATTGGATTTTTATCTAAACATTCTTTTGACTCGAAATTGAATTTCTTATATATTTATGTAGCCAATGCAATTTTACTTATTTAATACCAAATTTCTGCTTCTAATTACTTTCATAATGATCATAATACTATACTTACAATTCATATTACATATTCATTCACGAATTCATAATAATCCATACACTATACAATAATATAAAAAAAAACAAAAGAAACTTTTTCCCAGTATTGTCTGTATTTAATAATGATTCCATTGAAAGGAGCTTTACTCAAGGTAATGTGTAAATATCAAGCTATTAAAAATCCAATATGGCGGACACGTTGGCACGAAAATTAAGCGAAATTTTTAATGTACTTATGTAATTGCTTTTTAATTCTTATTTGTAATATGCAATGGATGTTTTATTATTTAATCTGTGCCATTGTATTTTCATTTTATTTGTGTACTTAAATCTGTTTGAAGTTCAATTTTGCAACATACTTAATAATTAACATTCTGGTTTGTCTCTCTGCTATCTAATTATAATTTTAGAACTATTATTGTTGTTTTTGGAATACAATGAAATACATTTTTTTTTATTTGTTATTTATAAAATCATAAACAAAAACCAATTTGTTAAAAAAAGTCAACTTTATCTATTAGGAAAAGTAAAGGAACTATGCCTATACAGCCCTATTTGTTTATTTATGTTCATAGTTTAATTCCTTTTATAATTATTTAACCCTTTTGGAACACGGCAAATGCATCAGCCCACTGCTATCCACGTCTGGACTGGCAAATGCATAAACTATGCCGCCATTGTAGTTTTCAAAATACTTATCAGCCTTTTCTTTTGTCCACAGATTATACACAACACACGCAACATGCCAAAGACAACGAGATAGTTCAAAATGGCGGCTCAAGATAAAGAGTGGATAGAACTATTCGGGGACTTCAACCGAACGAAAGTTCCTCCCGAGGTTGTAGATGTGCCTAAGCTGAACTACAGTGATTATGACAACCAGTCATACATACCTCTAGAGTATTCTAACTTCACAACGGACGATTACTGCTCATCAAATTATTCCCATTGGTATTTGAATGTAACGTGCGAATTCCCTATAAATTACGCCGAGCCCATGTATGGGTGAGTATCTTTTAATCAATTAATTCACAACGGTATTGTTGACTAGAAAATAGATCTTAATTTAATTAATTCTAACGAACTAGTGTATTGCATTTTCTATTAGACATCAGCGCCTGAATAGGTACCTAAGAATTCTAATACGATTATACTGTCACGCACAGAATAATAAATTGACCTTAGTTGATTAGACAATTTTGCCAAAGAATGTATGACAGTATGACTAGTAACCTTTGCCTGCTAAATCGAAAATTAAAAAAAACTACAGATGATACATAAGATATATAGAGATAGATAGATAGATGTATAGATTAACAGCATGTTCGAAAATTGAAAGAAGACTTTGATAATAATATCAATAGAGGTAAATTTATTAATTCAAATCAAATTTAACCTAATTGGACTTTGTAAAGCGTCGTCTACGTGTGCCTCTGTTTTAGCCGATAAGCAATTTATTTTTTGTTTATATCATTTATATATATTTTTTTTATTTCATTGTTTATACTAGCAAGGAATTACCGTTGAACTCCGTTCCGCCTCAGAATTGAATAATATGTCAAAGGTTTTATGAAGTTCAGTTACTCAATAAATTTCTGACAGGTACGAACAGTTTGTATGGGAAGATAAAATTGTTGTTTTTACTATTTTCCATTCAATTTCTTCATATTTTCTCACCACCTAAACCTTCCTTGGAGTTCGATAAATATATCAAAACAGAAATTAGCCAAATCGGTCCAGCCGTTCTCCAGTTTCAGCGATACTAACAAATGACATTTAATTTGTAACTAGCTGACCCCGCAAACGTTCTTTTGCCATATAAATTAAAATCACTATAAAAAATAAGTGTTGATAGTAGAAGGATGAAAATTTGGGGTTGTATATATTTTTTAATGCAAAAACCCCTAGTATTTTTTATTATTAATTACAAAAAATAATATAAAATTGTTAGGAGTAGACAAACCTCATGACTTAGGGGTGTGATAAATAGTTAGTAGCCGATTCTCAGACCTACTGAATATGCATATAAAATTTCATAAAAATCGGTCAAGCCATTTTCGGAGGAGGTAGCATTGTGACCGAGAATTGAATATATAAGAAGATATTCTGAAGTTCAATTTCAGCGTACTTACTATTCCCAAAATATTTCAATTGGTATCTAAAAATACCGGTGAAGCGCGATCTCTCTTCAGATGTCAGACTATAATATCTGTTTCTAAATCAGATTTCTCGGAAGATTTTAAGGAGAGTGCTCACAGCGAGGGTTGCGACTGACGTAAATGATAAATTGGATCTTAAAAATTAATTTAATAGGGTTACGAGGGCGGGTTGGCGTAGCACCGAGGGCTGATGGACCCCGTCATTACGTGCAAGTGTTTAATTCACTTGTAACTTATTTACATTGATGAGTTACATTTAATTGATGACCCTAGCTATGTACTGGTGCACACTGTTTCAATTTTTGATGGTCCAGATTTGATTCCCGCACAATATAAATTGTTTTACGTTTATTAATCCACATTACTAACAATCCCACTTCCTCCTGTCTCAACTATTTCAGTTCATAACCAGCTTGCTTTGTAAGCAAGTTGTTGTGATTAGGGTAAAAGGTGAGATATGGCCGTGAAATTACAGGGTACGGACGCATAGCATCATAGTAACTATGACGCCCTCTGTGGTCTACGGTCCTCATCGCCTTACTTCCGATGGTTGCGAGTTCGACTCCTCAGACATTACAAACATTTGTATTCATAAGTTTGATTATTTTTATTGCCATAGATGTGTCCTATGTATATTATGTATGTTGTCTACTACCCATAACACAACTCTAGTTAGTTTGGAACTAGATGACGCTGTACTAACAGTCATGGGTTACATTACTATTATTATAACCATGTTTCTTTCCTGTAACAGCATCAGTGCTGTTACTATTATTGTTATTCAGATAAATAATTATTGTTTCTTTCTTCCCCAGGTACATAGCCCCGTTTCTCCTAGCTACCACCACCGTTGCCAACACTCTCATCGTGGTGGTACTCTCCCGTCGCCATATGCGTACCCCGACCAATGTGGTGCTAATGGCGATGGCATTGTGCGACATGTTCACCATGCTCTTCCCGGCACCATGGCTGTTTTATATGTACACATTTGGAAACCACTACAAGCCGTTGAGTCCTGTTAGGGCGTGTCAAGCATGGAATTATATGAATGAGGTATGTATCTATTTTTGTTTAATCTTTTTTTTACGTAATTGATAACACAGACAAGGTAATAGTAGGCCGTTTTTTTTATTGGGATGATAAGGATATGGTGCACCCGTGCTAACGGTATACGCTGGCGGGGCACCAGTGGTGGATAATAGGATGAGTATGGGGTCAGGTCAGTTAGCCCATCGTGGCAAATTCATCAGGAATTTAATATTTTTTTTTTTTATACTACTATGGTGGCAATATGATGCTAAAATATACATGCTATGACGTAACTATAAGACTATCGTTGGAAAATTACTTTCGTTCAGATTTGAATTACTTATATCCAGATCTCATATAAATAAATACGTTTACAGTTTCTACTAAATAGATATATCTCATAACATAACATAATAAATAACATTCCCGTAATAAGGGAGTTTCCAATCAAAATGTAGCAGATGAATAAACAAACTCGCTCAAGACAACTGTACTAAAATTACTGGGTTTGATAGCAGAGAAGAAGTCAAGCGTAATCTGTAGTAATACTGTGCAATATTGCAATGTTCATTGCAGCGTAATTGGTATTCGCAGCTTTGATTGGCAAACGATATTATATACTTGTATAAACTCAACAGACGACTTTATACGTACCCACTCTTTTATTGTAGGGTAAACCCCATTTGGAGTCTAAGCATTGGGGCAAGCAATAGCCTTTATGGTTTTGTCAGGTGCTTAGACCTGTAGCACTGCGACCTGCATAGATCTATTGTACTCGCTCTTTTTCAAAGTTCGCTACCTATAGACCCAGTCAGTCAGTCAGTATGTCAGGGATAAGAATTGAAGGATATTAACAGAAGCGATGGTTTTTGTCTCCTTAGAATACAATACAATATATATAAACTTTTCAAAGGAGATATGTAATTAATTTATGCATGAGTAGGCAACAACCATATAGGATGTGTACTGATGTTTTCTGTTTAACATGGCGAAATATGCAGATTTGTACACGTATAATATTTTAGATTTACCTATTGGAATAAAACTAACATAAATTTGAAGTGACACCTACTACAATTACAAAATATCTCCACCCAGCTTTCGATCCCCCAGCGAATTCAAACGGGATTCGAAATTACGATGGTCTGAACCGAGGTTCGAAATCCTAGCGGTGCCCCCAGACTAAAGTCGTATCCATCAGAAATGAGTTGGCCTTCAGCCGCTCCATAAGTCCGCGGGTTTGGAATGCCATTTGCACTCACCCCCGATCGTTTGGTGAAACTGTAAAGGCCAGCTGCGGCCAACAGCATTAGTGTAGTCCGAAAAACAATACAAAGTCGTTCACACAACTACAAAAATTCTAACATTTTTCTAGTAGTTGATGAAGTCCCCCAATAATATTTTTTCTGGTTTTTCTTTCATATACAGACAGCGATCAGTTACATTTTTATTACATTTATAGAGAGGCACAGAAAATTGGATATCTGTATATTATAATTGGATAACATGTCGAGTACAAAAAGTATTATTTCCCAGTTTTTATCCGTCCTCGTGACCGGAGTAACTATTGGCTGGGATTAAATGTCGCCGTTTTATTTATTTAGTTGTTGTATAATATATTCTATTTATTGTTTAATACACCTAAAGTAGGTCTGATAATCGGCTACTATCTATTTTTCATACCCCTAAGTTATAAGGGTTGTCCACAACTAACAAACTTTTTAAAACTTTTTGGACTTTTTTTTATAATTCGGCATTAAAAAATACATACAACTCTAAAGTTTCAAACTTCTGTCCTACCCTATTTTTAAAAAGCGATTTTAATTTATATGCCAAAACAACGTTTACGGGGTCAGCTAGTTATATATAATACTAGTTGTTCCTGCGACTTTGTCTGCGTGGACTTAACTTTATTTATCTAATATAAAAGAAGTTTTCTAAAATAAAAGTAGCCTAAGTTACTCCTTATTACATCGGCTACCTGCCAATAAAAGTCCCGTCAAAATCGGCCCAGCCATTTCAGAGATTAGCCGGAACAAATAGACGGACAGACAGATAGACAAAAATTGTAAAAAATGTATTTTGGTGTATGTACCGTTTTTATATTCATATGCATTAATAAAAAACGCTTATTTCAATATTACAAACAGACAATCCAATTTTATTTATATGTATAGATATACAATATATATATTGTAGTTATATTATTAATACTATACCATATTCATTAAACAACATACGTAAAGTTTTCTCAAAAAGCAACGATGAAGAACTTATCCACGACTAGTCGTAAAGTCTATTTCACTGAAGGAAAACTCTGCAAAATGTATTTCTGAGTGCTGAGTTGGTGTAGTCTTTTGACCTTTGCTGAGTTGGTTACCTTTGTACATTACGGAGCAAAATTCTCCGCTATATTTCACCGTTCAATAGTTTCATTTCCTTTGCTTTTATAAAATCTAATATTGTATTTGTACGGTACTTTAATATTTATTCATTACTATAATACATTTTATATTTATTTGATTCTTATTTCTTTTTGCTTATATATTGATAACTTTTATATTTCAATTGAAATTCTCTATTATTTATTATTATCTATACATATAAATAAAATTGGAGTATCTGTTTGTAATATTGGAATAACCGTTTTTTACTACATTCATATGGATATAAATACGATACATACACCACAATAACATTTTTTACAAAAGTTGTCGGTCTGTTTGTTCCGGCTAATCTCTGAAATGGCTGGACCGATTTTGACGGGACTTTTTTGGCAGGTAGCTGATGTAATAAGATTAATAATAAAATCAAGTTAAATACCACGCGGACGAAGTCGCGGGAACCGCTAGTTTCAAACAAAATAGCATCGTGGCTGAATGGATTACTAATTCAACTTATACCAAAAAGATACTGAGTTCAAATCTAGCCGATATCAAAAAAATTTTACATATAAATTTATATTACTAACTAACTCTCTGGAGATAGAAACACCTATAACTTAATTCAAGTAGGCTCGCCAGTACCATGTTCGAACGTGGTACGGGCACTGGTACGTGGTAAAGACTCGAGACATATAAAGTAGATTACCCCGAGAATTTACCTATATGTGGAAGTGGAATATGAAATAGACATATGTGTGTAGCATAGAAATGGCAAAGCACATTCACCATAACGCTGACAATTGACGACGCCTCTGCCTGCCCCATCTGGTATATCAGTCGTGAAAGTTTTTGTGAAAGGACTTTGTTTAGTAGAGGACGTCTTCCGGTCTGAAATAATGAGGAATTATGATTTCACACAATATATCGCAAAATTTCAATCAACTTATACCTATGTGTATAAACTAGAGATGAAACGGATATGCGATAACTATCCTGTATCCGGCCTATCCGGCCTATCCGGCGGCCTTAATACTATCCGGCCGAATTCCGAATAACTACTATTATCCAAATTAAAAAAAAATCTGGGTAAAAAACATATTTTTTAGTAATTATTTGCTTTATTTAGTCTTAGTATTACTTCATAAATAAAATTAGTTTTAAAATTTTAATCATTCAATAGTAAATGACTGTTATAGAAAGAAAATGAATTTATTAGTTAGACAAATTCCGCCGGATATCCGGCTATTCAGTCACATGGTTAGCCGAATATCCGGTATCCGGTCAAACTGCTATAATCTGAGGGCACCGCTAGGAGTTCGTTATCTCTGGTATTTGAAAACTCGAAATAATTTTCAAATACAGATTATGAACTATTTCTACGAATAATTTATAATCAATTAATATTACACCTACGTACGTTCAAATATAGTATCCCCGGAGGCCTACAATACGTATTCAAATTTATATGTTTATGTACATGTATCTACTAAAATAATGCCTGAAGACATATGAGCTTATCATATTAAACAGGATCAGTCGTAAGGGACTAATTAAGGTAAATGTCGGTTATACTATAATATTAATTATTAATAATAACCCTGAACAATTCACACAGCGCCATCTAGTCTCAAACTAAGCAGAGCTATTATGGGTACTTGACAACTGGTATAAATATTTAGATAAATCTTTTTTGTAAATAAATACATAATATATATAGATGTACCATGTCAGGTTGACCTCCACGCGGTTCCTCCCGGAAACCATCGTGATGAATTCCTGGTGAATTTGTCACGATGTGCTAACTGACCTGACCTCATGCTCATCTTATCATACTTCACTGGTGCCCCGCCAGCGTAAACCATTAGCGCAGTCGGGTGCACCATTCCATTGTCATCCACTAAAATATATATATATATATATATATATATAGAAAACACCCAGACCAAAACAAACAATCATACTCGTGAATACAAATATTTGTACCATATATATAACTATATTATATACATATATAAACAACCTTCATGGTGATGATGATATGATGATTATTAGTTTATACTATTATTACCTATATAAATCATTGCTTTGTAGACAATATATAATACCTGTAGAGTACTACCATTTAAAAAAACACTTGACTTTAAAAAGTTGATGTCCAATAATAGTATTATTGAATTTGAATTTGGAACATTAAATTTTAAAGTGACTTAGGAAAAATCAATGAACACAATGAACATCGTGCACTATTTTATGAATTGGTTTTAAAAGACAATGGATTATTCATTTTTAAATAGATAAAGGCCAGTACAGTATTATTGAATTTGAATTTGGAACATAAAATATTAAACTGACTAATATAATAAAAGAAAAGGAAATATTTATTTGACAAATATCACGAACAATTTATGTTATATAAACATTACCAGTATTGAATTTTATTTATTTTTATTTTTATACAGTTTATTTACTATGGTAAGGTATAAACGTATTAGTTAAAGATCTTTTCGTGTCATCGTATATTTCTTTTCATTCGCTTGTTGTGTGCACACAGGTCAGTAGAAATAGTCCGCACATTGTGTATTTTCTCGAGCATCGAACAATACCTAGCACAATTTCCTTTACAAGAGGATTTTATAGGAAATAGAGCACAAAGGTGCTAGTCTTTGTGATTTAAGAACTATTGTATCCAGTTATCATTCGACACAATCGTTTTATATTTCTTGAAAACATTGATTTTATATTTCTTGTTGTTTGTAACAAAAAATATAAAAGTCAAAGTTCAATTTTCATGATATGATTTAGTTGATAAACGCGGATTATATATATATATATATATAATCCGCATAGAATAATAATAACTCTGGACAAATCATACAGTGCCATCTAGTTCATAAGCAAAGCAGAGCTTGTGTTATAGGGACTACACAACTTATATGAATACTAAATTACTTTTAGTAATCATGTATTTACATAATATACATAAAAACACCCAGACTCATAAATACAAATGTTTGCACCGTGCGAGGAATCAAACCCCCGATCCTCGGCAGTAGGGCGGTGTGCAAAAACGCTAAAATATTGTGACTGTACAAAAATTAATGTCTAATTATAGTTAACAATTGTGATCATTTATTTTGTAAGTACATACATAATTTACATAGATTACACATTGTGAAGTCTTGCGTAATAAAACTCATGAGTGGTCACAGTCGTCACATGATCACGGAAAATCTATGGTACTGTTACCGCTCAAGTGGACATTCTTAAAGAAAATAAATAATTTGTCCTCATATTAAGTTAAGCCTGGGTGGATAGCCCTGAACATATGTTAAATGACTTAATGGGGGATTCCAAATAAAGGATTAAGCCCCTTCTGAGGATAAGCAGAACGAAAGTGTATGTTTCGTAACTTGCTTTAAAAAATTCGTTTGTAACCCCTTCAAAGGGAAAGCGAGGTTTACCGTTGCGGGCCTTGGTCATTACAGTTTCATAAAAAAGAAAAGGCTCCATACTCTTATGGTAATATGTTATTCTTTCAGGTGATTCCGGCAATGTTTCACACGGCGAGCATCTGGCTGACACTGGCACTGGCTGTCCAGAGGTATATATATGTGTGCCACGCGCCCGTCGCCAGAACCTGGTAAGTTTCTCTTTATGTAACTGACAAGCCAAACAGCTGACATACTTACGTATAATTTAACTTAATTAAACTTCAATAATAGAAACATTCTTTATTCAAATAATCTTTAACAAATGATATATAATATTAAATAAATTATAAATAATATATTATTATTATAAGTGATATTAAATAATAATATAAAATCTTAATAAAAGTCACATATTTCGATTCTACCACTCATTCGCAGACTCATCATAAAAAGAACCAGTACAAACGTTTGGTATGTTATTCGGTTTGTTGTATATAGATAGATAACACACACATAATAACGTGATATCATGTGAAATGATTATACTGGTTCTAACACGAATAATTTTATGGTAAATATAGGTATTTACCTCTCTCGATTTTTCGATTAGGTTGCACTAGTACTAGTCAAGAGCTGACCCAGTCAGGCACCACGGCTTTGACTATATTAATAATCAGTTTTTTACCACTCCATATTTAAAAGAAAAAACAAGTAAGTCAAGCTATATCCTAAACACCTATATAAAGGCATGAAAATGGTTTTCAGTATGTTTAAATTTGAAAAATAATAGTCGGTACACAATAACATTGTTGAAAAGAACTGAATAAATATTTTTTTCTTTCTTTCTTTCATGTTATAGCATTCTTATAAAAATTCCTATAATATATTCAGTTTTGAGTAAAGGTTAGTTTTATACGACACCGTTAGGGAAACCATTACCATTCTTTACGGACGTGGATAATGACCTACTCGTAGAGATAAACGCAGGTAGGATGGCAACAGTAATGATTTTAGGAAACCACAAATACTTGTAACGCCGTATACTATAGGAAGTTTGAAGGTTTACCTGCATTAAGATTGTGGAATCGTTTTCTGGGAAGAGAGAAATATGGTTTTTCTCTCTTTTGTAAGGCAAATAAAATGGTGTAAATTAATGCATATAAGATTGTTAGAAATAGTAAGCCCCATTGTTAATAATTTACCATGTTAGGTCGACCTCTATGCGGTCCTCTTGGAAACCATCGAGGTTAAATCCTGGTAAATGGGCAAATCTTTATGATGAGCGAACTGGCATAAGAGGAAACGCCACTTCACATCCTATGGTTGTAGCCCACTCATGCATAAAAGAAATATCTGCTATGGAAAGTTTACACTATTTCCCGAGGAGATAAAAACTATCGCTCCTAAGAATATCCTTCAATTCTTGTCCCTGACGGGTCTAGGCAGCTAACTTTGAAAAAGGGCAATAGATCTATGTAGGTCGTAGTGCTACAGGTGCTACAAACATCTAACAATAGCCCAAACAACCCAATAAAACAAAAACTGACCTATACTCATCTTATTCTTCACTGGTGCCCCGCCAGCGTATACCGTTAGCCATTCCATTATCATATAAGGTCTAACATTTTATAAGTAGATACGTGAGAGAAATTCATGAAAATGATTTCATCTTAGTTGTTTCGACTTTGTCCGAAGACCTTCAGGCTGAGTACGCATCCCTTAGAGCGTCTTGCCCCGCACTAATTGAAACGAAATGTCGAGAAATAAGATAACACTTAAGAAAGAACTTACTAAGTTAATTAAATTTTAAAATACATATCATACAAAATAGTGGCTGCAGTGACAAACTTACTTGTATTCCATACAAAAATTACTCTTTATTTATCAAGATCTTAACAAAAGAAACGCCTTCTGAATCATGTCCATTACTATAAAAACCGTTTCTATGCATGTTACATAGGAAAATCGTTACATAATTATCCTAAGTCTGGTATCTCGCACTGCAAACTAAAAATTGCATATCGGTACTACTATTACTCTAGTTACTCGCCCTGGTGTACATAAACACCCGGCCGAAGCCGGGGCAAGAGTGATTCAATAGCAAGCAAGCCGGGGGGAAGAGTTTATATGTATTATACATATAAACCTTGCTATTGAATCACTCTATCTATTAAAAAACCACTTCAATATCCGTTACGTAGTTTTAAAGATTTAAGCATACATAGGGACGGACAGACAGCGACAGCGACTTTATTTTATACTATGTAATGATACAACAACAATATAGTCACAATGCTCTCTTGATTAAAATGTAATGTATATGGATTTATAAATATATGTGTATTTATTATGATTATTGTATATAAAACTTACTATGGTGTAATTGTTATTCGCAACTTAGGTTATTTTAAGAGAGATAATCTATGCCATAACTTATTCTACCTTCACGTTAAATTTCATAAAAATACGTTCACTTGTTCAGTAGTTACAAGGTCACAGACACACGTTCACATTTATAATACTGGTATGGATACAATCGATTCATCTATAACGCAGAAACAATTACAATAATAATATAAAGTTGATACTATAATACGAAAACCGTGGCAAATTACAAAATTCCAAATCCACAGTTATCCCTAACTAGAATTGAACCTGGAATCTCATTTGCGCAGCAATGTGATTAGCCCACTCAACTACGGTGCTCGTCAAATAAATTTAATGCTCGAGATAACGTCGGTCCCGTTCAAATATTAGCCGAGCCGGGGACGGAACCCGCACCTTGGCACTGTTTAATTAGCTGCCCGCGAAAACCCCACTTTCGACAGGAGTGACATCTGACAAATACATAGGCCAGGGGACACGGTGCACTTTACTAATATATATTTTTTATAATTTTTATAACTTTTAACTCCGACTAAGGCGACCGATTCATGGACGCCTCTCATATGTGATTTGCATATCCCAAGTTAGTTTTAAAAGTTCACGCTATTATTTAATTATATATTTATATTGATAGCCTTGATGGTCTAGCGGTTTACCGCCATACATCCGATGGTTGCTGGTTCAATTCCTCGCACGGTACAATCATTTTTATTCATGACTGTGATTGTTTGTATCTGTCTGGGTATTTTCTATGTACATTACATATTTTATAACCGTTATTTAGCACCTATAACGTTAGTATTTATATTGGTTTAAGCAATGTTTGCATTACAACTGATTTATATATCTCAATAGAAGCCTTCAAGTTCTATAATAATAGTTTTATATGAATATCCACTGCAGATACCATATAATTTAGTATTCATAATAGGTAACAGTAAACAAGAATATCTCTGGGACTATAATTAGAGGCACAGATTACTAATTCGATCCGAAAGGATGAGGTGATCTGAACAGTAATCGCTTTGAAGGTTTTTGTCCCTTCCGTTCGCGCTTAGCTATATCTTTATTGATTGCATAGTCTTAGAACATACTATCTATACATCATAAAATTGTGACAATGCGAAAACCATCTGTTTATGTGTTATGTTTCCACGTAAAAACGGCTGTAGATATTAGAAGAATGAATCTTGATCAGTAGTATTTTTTTTCCAAGGTCAGATTTATTTTTGCCTAGTATTCTGTGTTAGCAATACATTTTCTTAAACTCTACAATTCTACAATTTCTCCAAACATTACTCCAACATTTCTCCAAACCTACTGAAATGGAACATAGCAAGAGATGAATCCATTTGTTGATGGCCTTTTTCGTCATCAGTGAGAGTTAATTAAGACCTCTGATATACAGTCGATTAGTCGTTAGGTTATCCAATTACGATTAACAAACGGGAAGACTCCGATTGACTCATTTGATTTCTCCGCCCTACACTCTTTTTCCCTACGACGTTTCGTAGCCGCATTCAGTGAAAAAGTGTAAATTCTGAGCGATCATTATAAATTTAGGCTGCTGATATACAATCGGTACATCAACAGCCTAAATTGGTACATAAATAGATGTATATCTATGGTAAGAGCTCACGTCTTACATTGAAAGCTGAAATGGTTTACGACATCTATAAAAATATCGCCAAATAAAGTGCCACGGCCGTGTTTATTGCTGTTCCGTTTTACGAGTATTAGTGCGAATTGTGCCTAGCACGCCGTCCTGCCCACATGAAAGCGTTAATTTGCCCCGTGACACAAAAAGGAACAATAAAATTGCATATACATAGAGTTTTGGTCGCCGTATTAAATATAAAACGGGTCCAAAGCGTGCGGAACTCGTACCATTTTCGTACGAGTAATGCATTTGTATTATTACATTCATATACTCGTTTTATGTCATTTCAATAAAGTTTATTAATATTTTTAAGCAACTGAAGTCATAAACCAAGAATACAGCATATTTACGACCTCGGTGGCCTAGCACTTTAACAGATCGCTTTACTTCCGATAATCGCGGGTTCGATTCCCCGCACGGTGCTAACATTTGCATTCATGAGTATGATTGTTTGTATCGGTCTGGGAATTCATAAAAAAAAAATCTAATAATTATTTATATTAGTTGTCTAGTACCCATAACACAAGGTCTGCTTATAGTGGGTCTAAGACGCTGTGTTAATTCAAGTCCAATGTTGTTTATTTATTCAAAATAAAGATTAAGGAATTATTTATGGTCAATAATTATTATACTGTAGAAGAATTCTTATCAAACTTACTGTAAGGGCTAAGCGGATGTCACAGCGGAGTTCATGTCAAATTTTGTTAAGATCCATGTAAAAATCATCATGTGGTGCCCCGTGGAAATCATTGCGGTTAATACCTGATTAATTAGCCACGTTGGGCTAACTAATTTCATGCATACCCTATCATCCTTCACTGGTGCTCCGCCAGCATATAACGTTAAGTCCAAAAGCTATTGCATCCTTTAGAAAAAGAAAACATATGTACAACGTTAGCTTAAAAAGCTATTGCATCCTTTAGAAAAATAAAACTTATAGAAATCTTATACTATCATTTTCAACATAAATCAAGCCCAATTTGAAGTTGTCCGTGATCCATAAAAATTATGATATAATATTACCCAAGTCTATTGAAAGTTCCAAATCGATAGCATTAGTTTCTGAAAAATATGGCACTGTAACAGCTGGACGGACATATAAATTTGCACCAGAAGGTTCATATTTTACATTTTTGATTGCGATTCCTAAAACAGTTCATTATTCATATTTATGATACCATAACCTTGTCGGTTTATACACCGGTCGTTTAAGAGACTTGTAACTTGAGTTGCTCAATTAACAAAATTATTCTCTTAGCTTACATTCCAACAATGTACTAAAAGCATAAAAGCGAATATGTCTTCTTCAAGTTTTTAACATTATAGAGAAATGGTTCCCAACAAGGATTTACGATAAATGGAGTTCGAAAATACTGGGTCTTCAAATATCACAAAGTCGCAGTGTCAGGTTCTTCGTTAGAACGACGAAAATATTTTTTATTTTTTTACTATAGATTGGGACTAAGACTTCATAAAATCATAAGATATAGATTAAATAATGCACAGTAGCAAAACAATGAAAAATATCGTCTTATGTCTTTAAACTCCAATTACTAGGAGTACATAAGCTAATGAAAGTAGTCCAACTATAAATTCGTGTGACGTACGGATGCCCACTCAAGCTGTAGTGCTTTTTTAATTTACTACTTCTCTTTGCCTGATACACTTCTATATAGATGCAAAATTGCGTAATCAAATGCGTGAAATCAGTTGTTCCAAGCTTTACTATGTACCAGGTTCACATAAATCCCAAGTAGTGCGAATAAAAGGGTAATAAATAGATTTATTGGATAAAATTGCTTCTGACAATGCTGAATTATACCAAATCTGTATAAACATTTGAAGTTTCTCCGTAATATGTAATGTGTTATGTGTTTTAATTCGCAAAAATGAGTATACAAATAGGTACATGTAAAAGGCATAAGCAATCCGTACACGTAGTATATATATCCCATTCATAAATATTTGAAATGAGCAATAAGTTAATGCTATCCCTCTTTATCGTACTGGTTTAAAGTGAGATAGTCTGATCTCACTCACTCTTGATGCCTTTCTACTTCCTCCAACTTCTAAGTTGTAGTAGACCTACAACATAGAACAATTAGACCTTACAGTCTAAGTTTTTTGTTGATTGTTAAAAATTTGAATTTTAATACCATACCATTTGAATTTTAATAAATATATATATATATATATATATATAAATAATTGCCTCCAGTTTATTTGAAGTCTCATTTTGTCAAATTAAAGTTTGGTTTTTTAAAACAACTCTTGAAATTATTATATTCAATATTTTAACTGAAAAATTACCAATAAAGATTGCTGCTAGTAATAAATTTAACATTTCGAAACACTCACCGCAAAGCTATTAAAAAGTCATTACATTTTATTACCCTCGTTATATTTTTAATCTGTGTTTGGTAAAAAGGTCTGTGGTTTCTTTTTAAGGGGGATATTCCATTAGCAAATATATTGGATCAAAACTACATATATTTGTCAATTTATTATCCTTTTTTTATTATAAAGTCTAGATAACGTAGTTTAAATTGATTTTCTATTGTAGCCAGTATTTAATAAAGGTTGCAAAATGCTGAAAAAACCTAAAATTGGGTTATGTAATATCCTTGCAGCAGTTTTATGCCTAATATTGCATTTTTTGTTTTCAGCCAAATTTATTTAGATTTTAACTAACTGCTTAATGCGGGTTCGTTCTCGCGTACCCATTTTCATTGTCATAAATATTACCATTAATTATTTCAAAACTGATTTTACTTATACTTGAAAATTACTACAGCAACAGCTGACCGAATTGAATGTGAATTTCACTGATGTAATAAGTAAAAATCTTTCAGAATTTTCCAATCTCTTACCAAGGTACTTTCACTATCTGATGAGGGCTCCCCATAAAAGAAAAACAATTTGAAAATTTTTTAGCGGCTGAAATAGATGAGACTGAGGACGCATACGATTTTTAACAATATGACGTTAGATGTATCGTATCATTATAATAATTTATATAAACTTTATTTATTTTTTATACAATAGGCGTGCTTAATGCTATTAGCATTCTCTATAAGCCAACCTTAGGGAGTGCTGAAATCCTCGAAGACGGTAATTTTTTTTTTATGTAGTATAATGGAATAGTGCACCCGCCTGCGCTAATGGTTTACAGTGGTGGGACACCAGAGTCTCGGCTAATGTCAATTTACCACGATGATTTCCAAGGGGAATCGCGTGGTGGTCAACTTGACATGGTACATGGTACAATGGAGTTATTAGTACCATATTACTAAAAATGCCAGGTAGTTTAGTTTATTAAATAAAATCTTACTAATATTATTAATGCTAAAGTTTGTGAGTATGGATGGATGTTTGTTACTCCTTCCCGTAAAAACTGATTTTGATGAAACTTTACAATAATATAGCTTATACATCAGAACAACACACAGGTTATAACTATCAGGCAAGGAAAACCGCGGATACAGCTAGTTATATAATAATTTGTTTCCCATCAGGTGCACAATGCCGCGAGTGATGAAATGCCTGATCTACATCGGTATAGCAGCGTTTCTCCATCAGTTGCCCAGATTCTTCGATCGGCAGTACATACCACATGTAACGGTGTGGCGTGGACACCTGGAGGAAGTCTGCAGGGTAAGAATAAAAATTTAAAAAAATCATAATTCATTCATGAAGGTCTATTACAGTGATATGTCAAATCTACTGGCAATTCGGAATGATTTCGAAATGAGAAGAAACAAGAAACTCAGTTCGTATTTTTTTCAAATAAATGTTGTACCTACATGTTTACAGATACATAATTATTCATTTTATATTCAAATTTGGGAGAATAGAGTGACCATCAGCATATATTGTTTCAAAAGCAAAAAGTCTAATCAGTGTTCGTAATCTGAACAGACCTGTCTTATCCCAACTGACTAACTGATCGATCAATATACATTCTAAACAGCCGATAATAATATAGCCTAATAAAAAAATATGCATTTTTAATAACAAAAATATAGTAGGTATATTTTGCGTATATCTTTTATCTATTTTATACTCGTAGGTATACCCTTACGACAGAGCTAAAGTCTCTTGATAAATGAAATCACAATATCTTAAATAATATATTTTGTAATAGCAGTAATAAAAAACAAAATGTAAGAAAAATAAAATTATTATGTAAGAAAAATAATAACGAAATAAGCAATATAAAAAGAACAATATATTAACTGGAGCAACTGCCAGAACCATTATGACAACTATTTTAAAAGAGGTAGTCAGAGATATAATCGTGGGTCGCACATTTCCATTAGCAGCTTAGTGATTTAGTATCCGTAGTACTTAGAGGTAAAGATCTTAGGTTGAAATCTCGTCGATACTAAAAAACTTTTAGTGTTTATTTATTATACATGTTAGACTAACTCTCCTATGATATAACACTGATAACAAACACTGATACAAGAGTCGCTGCTGCTACGTTGTATTTATATATACTGGGCGAAATGTGGTTATGTCAAATGTTGCATTACCACGTCGATAATTAGATAGATAGATAAGAATTTTAATTTTGTTTATTTGTCGCATAAAAATTCTTATCTAACACACATATAAGTTTAACTATAAGTAGTATACATTACAGAATATTTAGAACAATACAATATAGATAAACAAGCATGTACAAAATGGCTCATAGCTCAGTGTGGAGAATCACTCAAGGAGCACTCAAAATACTGATTTTAAATTACGTCCAGCAAGATATTCATCTTCAAAGATTCAAGAAAAAATATATCTAAATAATATCAAATTTTTATTATATTATAAATAAAGCCATTTCCATTATCTGTTCGCTTAGATCTTTTTAACTACGCAACGGATTTCACTGCAATTTATAGCAATAGATAGAGTGATTCAAGAGGAAGATTGATATATATAATACATGTACACCCGTGCGAAACTGTAGCGGGTAGTTAGTAAACAAATTAACAATGCCTTTGACTAACAAAATCTAGGATAATAATTGTGACGGTACTAAAATGTAATATTAAAATACAGAAGTCTTTCAAAATTAAACCTTAAACTCTTGCAATTCAAATCTCAAACTCTCAAAAGGGGAAACTCTTACAGAATCTACTCTAAATGAAATATTTCACAAGGTAATTGTATGCAGTGGGTTAATGCAGCGTCGGTGTAGACTTGCCCGCGAAAATTTAATATTCCCTCTACTTGACTTTCATAAGTTCGCGGCCGTTACTTGATTCTATGAATAAGTAAACAAAATGTTATTTCATTAAGTCCGCGAAGCAGGGAAGCGGACGAATTTAATAGAAAAACAGAAGGAAGTCACAAGTCCATGAATGAAATAACGGTGTCATCAAAATTTACAAGATATTTTTTAAACGTATTTGAATTAAACTTTTTACTATTCAGACTACTGTGATAAATTTGATTGACGGTCTCGATTGTCTATACATATTTAGCACACTGCTTTTACGCTTGACGGTCGCGGGTTCGATTCCTCGCACGATTCAAATATTTGTACTCTTAAGTATGCTTGTCTGTATTAGTATGAGTGTGTTCTATGTATATTATATATTATTATAATGCGTTTTTTTAATAGAATGCTGACGATTATCGATTATATTGTTAAGTTACAATTTATTAGTTTTCTTTTAATTCAAGGCAAACAATTTTTTTTTATAATTATTTATTGGTTACTTCTTTTTCAGATGGAAATGTCACCGTGGGTTCAAACACTATCAATGGACGCGTACTTCATCACATACTTTGGTTTTCGAGTTCTATTCGTTCACTTAATACCCTGCACCTCTCTAGTAGTCCTCAACGTCCTCCTCTTCAGGGCGATGAGAACAGCCCAAATAAACAGACAGAAACTATTCAAAGAAAACCGTAAGTCTGAATGCAAAAAGCTGAGAGATTCAAACTGCACGACGTTAATGCTTATAGTGGTAGTTACGGTTTTCCTCCTGGTAGAAATACCGGTCGCGGTTGTAACTATATTACACATAATATCGAGTACGATAGTCGAAATATTAGACTACCATATCGCCAATATACTAATATTAATTACCAATTTCTTCATAATAGTGTCTTACCCAATTAATTTTGCGATTTATTGCGGCATGTCGAGGCAGTTTCGCGAGACATTCAAAGAGCTATTCATTAGAGGCGCCGTCACTAGTCGGAAAAATGGCGGCTCCAGTAGATATTCATTAGTAAATGGACCTAGGACCTGCACAAACGAAACTGTACTCTAGGTTATGTTTTGTAAATAACTATACTATTGTAAAGTGTAAGTTTTATATAATAATGTTCGTCTATTTATATTATAAATGTAGACATATCAATATGTTTGATATTGACATTTTGAAGCCGCAAGGCGGGATGCCTTGGCACAAATTTTATTTGTATGTATAAAAAAACGAATTGTAATTGTAACTTATATTGAATTTAAATTGTTTAATGCTTCCGTTGTCGCTGTTGGTATATTTTATAATGTTTTCGGTACTTTTTCATGGCTGTGCGGTTACCTGATCATGATGATATAAAAAAAAAGTATGTATTATATATATATATTATATTTGTTATAAGTTGTAGTTATATATTTTATATTTATAATTGATTAGCTGATCACACGGCCTATAAATGGTGAGCCCCCATTTAGAAAAAGTATCTTTTTGATAAACAATTGTAATTTGTAAATATGTTTTGCATAGTATACAATTTGTGTTCTCAGTGTGTGTAGAGCTTTTATGAAATTAAAAACATGTAATAAGTATCAAATTATTTGTAAATAAAAATAAGACTACAATAGATAGATCGATGTGTAAAAATGTAGTTGTTAACTTTATATACTTAACTAAAGGAATTGTAAATCAAAATTATTTAGAAATTCAATAATACATTTTTATTGTAAATTGTGTTTAAAATTTATATGAAATCTACATATATTATGGCACGTTGAATTTCAATATACGTTTGTATGTTTTCATATTAGTTCCAACTATATGATGAATGTTAAAGTTTAATGTATTTTTTTTAAATAAATGCATCGGACCATGGCGAATTGCGAGTAAAATGTTAGGTGCATAACATACCTTATATAACTTATTAAAAAATTGTAAGAAATATGTGATTTTTATTTAAACTTTTTTTTAATTTTATTACCTTAATGTCTGTAATACATTTTTCAACATACTTGCTCGTAAAGTGGATCAATTTCATTTCAGTTTTCAATATATAAAGATTCTTTGAATAACAGTTTATAAACGCAATAGTGAACTTATATTCAACGACGGCCACATCTTCATCCCATGATCGCGGGTTCGAATCCTCGCACGGTACAAACATTTGTATTCATTGTTAGCAATGGGATCATCTATCCACAATACTAACAATTTACTTCCCCCTATCAGAACAATTACACAAATGATCATGAATGCATAAAACTTAAAGATCAATTATTGTCAAACTAACTAATTCATTTTCTTATATAATTGTAATGGTAAACTAAGCTGAAAGCCCACCTAATGGAAAGTTATAACTGTGTCGCCTATATGCATAAAATAGCTCCACGGAATGAATTTATGACCCTAATACATGCCATCGCGTGTAGCTTGCTTCCGGTTCCTGTAATTTCACTACCGTGTCTATCACCCTTCGATCTGTTTTGGAAACCTAATACTGCTTATCGGCAGATATAGGTGAGACTAAGTACCCACTTAGATGACCTTATACCGTCTAAAATAAATGTAAAAATCCATACAAATTAACAAAATTTATACCATGTAGGTGGCAAACAAGCATACGGCCCATCTGATGGCAAACGGTTACCGTAGCCTATGGATGCCTGAAACACCGTGGTGTCAATTGCGCGTTGCCGACTCTTAAGAATTAAAAGAAAACAAATAAGGGTAAAAGTCTATAGAAAAAAATAAAATTGTAGTGTCTCTTTATAATTTATAATTATTGGTATTTTACTAAATGGATGTAAACGTATATAAGATACTTACATAAAAAGATATTCATAAAAAAATTAGAATGTCTGCTAGTTTGTTGATGCCAATCTCTGAAATGGCTGGGCCAATTTTGACGGGAATTTAATTCGCAGATAGGTAATATTATAAGAAATAATTTAGTTTACCTACTTTTATTTTAAAAATTGTATTTAATTTATTGAAATAGAAATTCTCGCGAAGAAAATACAATCTTATAGACCAAGGTAAGATAGGACTGACGTACACTGAAAAATAAATGACCAGCATAAATAGTTTAGTTACTCTAGAAATAAACAAATGTAGAAATGAAGATTTTTTTATTATATATACAAAATTAGCATCATAAATAGACAAATAATTAACAATTATAATATTTCAGTACATACTACTCAAATATTAATATGTACTATTTTAGTTTACTAGAAATATAGTGGTTGGTTAATTTATAATTTACTAGATACCCGCCTCGATTTCGCACCATATCATACATAAACCTTCCTCTTAGATCACTCTATTCATTGCTAAAAACTGCATTAAAATCCGTTGCGTGGTTTCTAAGAAGTTAAGATCTGAGCGGTAGCGACTTCATTCACTATGTAGAGATGATTCACACTCTTTATCAGAATCTGGCATGCAAAATTAATAGTGTATAGATTACACACTATTAATTTTGAAACATATACATAAAATTGGACTGTCTGTTTGTAATATTGAAGTTTAAAGTTAATGGGAACAGCTAGTAATAAATATAAAAAGAACGTATCAATGCAATATATATACACTGTTATATCCTTATATATAAAATTCTCGTGTCAGTATCAAGGTTAATTACCATACTCCTCCGAAACGGTTTGACCGATTTTTATGAAATTTTATATGCATATTCAGTAGGTTTGAGAATCGGCTATTATCTATTTTACATACTCCTAAGTGATACGAATTTTTTTTTGGACAAATTAAGACAATCCATCTCTAAATTTTCACCCTTCTATCACCAACCCTTATTTTTTAATAGTGATTTTAATTTGTATAGCAAAACAACGTTTGCGGGTATAGCTAGTATTACCGTTTGTGTTTTCATCAATTAACACGTAGAAGGACATGTATCCGTCACTGGGTGTGCCCAAGTAATTTTATAGCTCTATCCCTGAGGACTATTGGATTACAGTAATATACCACGCCCGGTTTCATCAGACAGTCGTAAACGGCCACTTTTATTGGCAAAGACCAATATTAATACAGCCATATAAAAATAGAGACGTCGTAAGACGGTTGTCTTGAAATTAGGTCATTTCTTATGTTTCTATTTCATTTCTACAATAGTTATTTCATCGATAAATACACTCCATTTCAAATATGATCTATTTACCTTCTAATAAACTGGTAGTTTGGTAGTTTTTTTCCGCCCAAATTATTTTGTACTCGTTACATAATAGATTTTTTTATTGGTCATTCAAATAAAGTAATGGATGTATAAAAAAAAATAATTTAATGTATTAATACTCTAATATTATACAAAATAATATACTATATAATATTTCTGCATTAGTGCAAAAATAAGGAAACTTGCAAAAATCTGTACCGAGCCTTTATAACTTGGCCCAACGCTGGTCAAGATTTAAACTCTACTTCTAAAAGAGAATAAATTCTCAATTGTGGATTAATTATAATTCCACGTAATGATCACAATTGTAGGTACCCTTCAAGACAAATCAATTCCATGCAAAAATACTTCTTAACAACAAAAATAAATGCCGGTTGACATGTACACTGAATTCATTTATCTCTTCGCCGTCTTTTGGGAATTTCTTTGTATTTTAATTCTCTAAATTTATAATGTAATAAAATATTATAAACGTTATAAAAAATAACATACCCCTCGAGGCAGTGTAATGTCACTTATTTAGCTTATAAATAGGAAAAACAGAGCACTACAAATGAAAGTTACGATCGCGCCGCGGCCATTTCATTACGCGCTACATAAAATGGCCGCCAAATGTATTTATGGTCCAATCCGCTTTATAGGCTGTTGCGGAAATGTGTGATTGAATTTTTATGTAGTTAGTATCTCAACTTTTTTTAAATGGAATATGGGCAAAGACGAAGTTCATTCAAGTCAAAAAAAGAAGAAATCAGTTCTTAAATAATAAAGATTTTTTAACAAGGGGCTACAGTTATTTATAAGAAGTAAATGCAATCCACCAATTATGTCACTACGAATGATTATTCTTTTAAACTTTCTTTGTTAATTTAAAACTGTAATTGATATTTTCACAAATAAAGTTATATTGTTTAATTCTATTTACCTACTACTTGTCCCATGAATTTGCTATTCCTATTTTAATCTTGATTAAATAATTAAACATATAATTCAAAATACCCTCTTCTTAATTCATATCGTAAACCACGCCACACATGACAGTAATCCTGGTAAAATAAAAGCTTATTGTGAGGATAAAATTGTCACTAAATAGGGTCTACTGCAGGGTTGTCAACCCCACTTTTTTAACTAGCTAGATATAACTCGCATCTTAGGTAAATAGTATAAAACAAAGAAGCCGCCCCTGTCTGTTCGCTTATATCTTTTTATATTTATATTTTATGTTTTTCAATAATAGATAGAGTGATTTAAAAGGAAGGTTTGTATGTATAATACATGCGTGTATAGAACAAGCCGAGAAATTCAAAGATTTGTTGTTCGTGCGAAGCCGGTCGGGTCGCTAGTAAATATATAAACAAAACATAAACTGTATTAATTGATAGGCTTAGAATTTCTACACATTTTGTTAATTGAACCAGTTATATAATATCCTTATATTTAAATCATAGAGAACAATTAACACTACCTCTATTCTTGGTCGTTTAATAACGACCTTATGAGAATGGAAACAAATCTTAATCAATATAACAAACTGTAGTGCTTTTAAAAAAATATAAGTTACACAGTTTCATATAGTAATTTGTTTTTAGCAATTCTGTATATATCTAGTTAGCGTATGTATAGTGTATTTATACATAACTAGTTATCATAAACTATTTTATATATACTCTATTCTAGAGAAAGAGAAAATCTTGCTGAGAAAGACAAATCTATATGTGTTACATTAATTATTCTTATCAAATTTGTTTAAGGCAGTTTAATATTGACTATGATTTTAGATTTTAACTTTTATTTATTTTAAAAGTAAATAGTTATGAACTCATTTCTTTTTTTAATTAGTCTTTGTTACATATCTCGGAGAAAGCTTTGAAGCAAAATGTCTGAGGTGTTTTTATTTTAGTTTTTATTATACTCTTACGTGGTCGGCCATGTTCTCAATAAGAGGCAGAATAATGATTGGTGTATTTTTAAAAGTACACACATTAGACATTTCTATTATTTATCTTACACACTATTCATCCTGAAATATAATCATGAAAATTGCCAACCCTAAAATGTCCAACTAAAAACGAACCAACAACACAAATTAACCCAGACATTCAGCGTAGTGTGTCATAAATCAGTTTTGGTCCACATCTCCGCTACATTTTCAGTACGTATGTCACACTGACCTCCACTAGTTCCATTGCTATAGTTTTGACAGCCGTTATTAAACTTTGCTGTTATAACGTTAACTAGTTACAGTAAGTATAATGATGTGAACATAAGGTAGTTAAATTTCATAATGGTCTATCAAGTTGAACGTAAATTTGGTGCGTGCCATAAATTACAGCGGCTAATTGGAATTTAAACTATGTATGTTGCAGCGCACACAATGACATAATAAAACCGTAAAGTAACTAATAGTTATATATACCAACTAGCTAACTGCCCCAGCTTCGCACGGGAGCGCATGTATTATACATACAAACCTTCCTCTTAAATAGCTCTATCTGTTGCTAAATGTTTACTCATAGCAATAGATAGAGTGATTCTAGTCTTAAATCCATTGCGTAGTTTAAAAGATCTAAACGACCAGACAACGGAAGCGACTTCATTTTATATTATGTAAAGATAACTAATAGTTATGTATTATATGTATATAAGTATGGTATATTTAATCAAATTGAAACTTCTTTTTTTACATACACAATTCTGATAATGCGGCGCCGACATGAATATCTGTCTGCTCCATGATTAAGTGGGAGAAAATGCCTCAAGGTGTTAAGTTTGTCATGTGCACCTTTATTTGTGTATTTGTGCATTTTAATAAATCTTACTAATTATTATAAACGTGAAAGTTTGTGAGTACGGATGGTTGGATATTTGTTATCATTTCACGCAAAAACTACTGAACAGACTTTGATGAAACTTTAGTGTAGCTTATGTATTATTCTGATGTTTATACATAAGCTGTAATTTAAAAAGGTATTATGTAAATTGGGCGAAATATAATGATAAATGTCAAGTAAGTGTGATGCAGACGAGGTTGCGCGGTTCAGCTAGTAAATAATACTAATATTCTTAATTCCTAAGTATGTCTGACTGTCTGTTTAACTTTTCACGGCTAAAATTAAATGATTCCAATTATATTTGACAGATGATAGATTTTATACCTAGGACGTACATAGGCTATCTTTTATCTACAATAGAAATGCTGACGAAGTCGCGAGATAATAGCTAGTTTTATAATAAAATTTACTCTCTTTATAATTATCTGCAAAACCTATTTTAAGAATTTTATTATATTATATTATATTATATTATATCTGCAAAGCCTATTATAAGAATTTATAATTTTTTTATCAATGAACAAATTGGATGGTAAGGACAGTGACAATTTTTTTAAATTTATAAGTAGTAGAGAGTGTCTTAAATGATTAAATGATTGTCTTTGACTTTGATTTTATAAAGAAAAGAATTAAATATTTCAAGTGAATACGAATAATAAATTTAGATGCTTTTATACGAAACAGGTAGAAGCGTGAATTTACGACAAGAACAATAAAATACAATTCTATGTTTAAAAAGAAATATAAGGATAGCAAAGAGTTAACTACATTTTTTTACAAATCTAGCTTACCGGGTCTCTCTGAATTGTAATCGCTAAAGTTCGCGAGTACGATCCCGACCTACAGTAAAAACTTGGACTTTAATTTATATGACGGTCTCGGTGGTCTATCACCTATTTAGCACACCACCTTTCGATGGTCGCGGGTTCGATTCTCGCACGGTACAAATATTTGTGTTCATGAGTATGATTATATAACTGTCTAGGTGTTTTCTATGTACTAAAAATATCTATATATTCTAACTCTCTGATTATAGAAATATCAACAGAGGCAACGCCGACGCAACATCGTTTCACAACTCCGTATACCCCATCTCTAATTAGTACGTGAAGATATTATTTTTTTACTGTTATAAACACGTCGCCTTTCAAGAAGACTTCGTTATGATAAGATGTTAACTCAATTTGACACGATGTTATGGAATAAACTTCACCTTTCACAAGATTTCATGTAAACAACCTTGTTTTAACAACACAAGTGTTTCAAGAAACAAAAAATTAAATTTTATAAGAAAAAAATAAAATTCCACATTAAATCAAATGAAATTGTATTTATATAGTCGGTAGATCTGAGAATAGGTTATCTATTTTTTATACACCTAAGGGCGGCCCAGGACAATTTTTTTTTTAAATTTTGCATTTGGTATTCTTTTATGATTAGGCTTTTAAAATATCATACAACACCAAATTTAGACCCTTTTACAATCTGCCTCTATTTTTTAATAGCGATATTAATGTATACGTCAAAACAACGTTAACTGGGTCAGCGAGTATAAAGCAATATACACATACATACATATACATATTGTACAGTGATAAATTTAAAGTTTACATAACTTCCGCGAATTGAAGCCGCTAAATTCCAAACCGGCAATTTTCTTATCAAGTATTATCCATTACTGGGTACTTAGTTACAAAACTAGAGCCTGGATTGTGTTCAGAACTCCATATAAACTAAGAACTTACCTCATCAGAGTGGTTTGATCGACGAGTTATAGCCGCCTCACTTAGTTGTGGATATTGGCAGCCAAGTTTCATGGACCAATATCGATGAAACTTGCGGCCGGTCTATATTAGGCCATTTTGAATTAGTTCCATTGGCAGTCACATGGCTTTAGTAGTAATTAGTATTTCTTTATCCATATCCAACAAAGTTATGAAGGTCTCCATGGTTCAGCTATTTAGTAGAGCAAACGATGGTCGCGGGTTCGATTCGTCACGATTTATATAGATTGTTTGTGTTTTTGTTAACTTGTCGTTGAAGCATTTTTATTATCAAATTGTAGTATAATATACAGGACAATTAACTTGTATTATGGGTACTAAACATCTGATATGACTACCCAGACACATTTTTTTTTGTAAATACAAAAAATGTATATATAGAAAACATCCAGACCGATACAAACAATCATACATTATAAATACAAATATTTTTTTAATGAATGAATATGGAATACTGCTTCAGTCTGTACTATACGCTGACGCCCTGTCAGCGATTGGTGCATTGGAATCATTCCATAATGACTTGTTTCAAAGTCTACTTTACTTCGGTTAAAGTTTCCAACTTGTTTGTTCATATTATACTGTTCACTCAGGTTTCACTGTATTAATAAATAAAAATTAAAAACCAATATTTATATATTACATTATATTTAATAACACAAATGTACAAAAAACTATAAATAAATACACTACATATGTATGTTTTTATATTTACTTTATTACTGTAAGAATATAACAGTTAAGAGAAATAAAGCTATTTCTAATATACACATTGTAACACTTCCATAAGATTACATACCTAGTATTCCTATTCTCAACAATATTATTCTCATTCTCATTACACCGTTTTACATTCTCATTCTCGAATATTCTACTACAACTTTACTTTTATACAACGGGAATGGCAAACTGACGGTCCACTTAATGGTAAGTGGTAACCATACGTATACACACGTACAGCACGTCAGATATCATGTCATCAAGTGAGGTTAATGGTATCGCAAATGCCATTCCGGAAGATCGAGATATAAAGTCTACATACTCTCTAATATCACAAACTTGTGTATCATCCTTCACCCGGAATATAATACACGAGTATGTCAAATCAAATCAAAATATCTTTATGTATGTAGGTCTATTACACACTCTTTTGATTTGGTAGAATTACCGTCAGTTCAGAGTGCTTTCGAGCTAAGAACTAACAGGAAACTCAGCACTTATTCTTTTAAAATAAGCTTCTACATTCATTACAAAAATGCGGATTCGATTTTAAATTCAATTAGGGAGAATGTGTGATCACCATTTCAAATAGCAAGCATCTTGACGGATCAACCCCCTTCGATCGATCCCCGTCCAATTTTAACGAGGATCGAAATTATGACGGCCTGAGCCGAGTTTGAAGCTCTACCTCGCTAACCCTTAGACTAAAATCGTATCCGTTAGGCAGGAGTTGACTTTCAGTCACTCCATAAGTACTAAAGGAAGTACTTAGTCCTTCCTTTGGTTTAAAGTACTCGCCCCCTATTATTCGGTTAAGCTGAAAGGCCAGCAGTGGCCAACAGCATTAGAATAGTTCGAAAAAAATATAAATCCCTACTTTACTTACTAATGATCGACCCTGCGGTATAAGCGGCGAAACGCTCATACCTTTGTAATTTTTGTACATATTATGTCTGGCTTTGGACTACCATCTCCACTCACCCCCTATAGATGTGAAGGCTAGCAGCGGCCAACAGCATTAGAATAGTTAGAAAAAAAATACTAAAATAGGTGATACAGAGGTACCCAAAGAGACTATATTCTATAACGTCTACCTGGTTGAAAATACAAGTACAGTGGTATGGTGAATTCTCTACTATTCTGTTATAGTATACATTATTATCACGTTCAGAAACAATAAATCAGTGACAAAATTAATACACATATATTTCAGCTTGAAAGTATAGTGTGTATTATGTAGTTCTTGTATTTATAAACCCATCCAACAGCACGTAGTGAACTATCCGAGATCATTGGATGAGATCTGTGATGCCTGTAAATATAATAATTAGTTATATAATATACATCAGACAATCCATTACAGATCCGAGGCTTACTAATAACTGATAGCTATAATAAATAATAAATAATAAATTTTATTTCATCTCCACAAATTACATAATCCCAATTTTATTATATAAATGCCAACAATAAAAATCTCAAATATAATTTGTGGGTAATCTGGAGACCAAACTTAGCCATACCATAGCCTGTACCTTAGACACCATATCTCGCCTTCATATAAATTTGTAATACATCTAGTTTTAAACTTAAACGTGCGTGCATGTGTGTGCGTGTTTGTTTTTCTTTGTAAATATACACTTTATCGAACACGCGACCATATACTGCTAAACCCCGACAACATTAATTATATGAAAACTTACCGTATTGATGGATTTCAGCTGCAATGCGCACATGAGGAAATTGTTGCGACAAATGAACTCGCCGTCAGGGCAGTAGCTAAAAAACATCATTATTATTAATTTGCTGTCTATTTTTTTGACGGATGAGAATGGAATGATGTACCCTGCCTGCATTGTCGATATGAGGATCATGTTTGGCTAGTTAGCTTACCATGACAAATTAACTAGAAGGTCTGTAAAAAATTGGTTCAAGCGAGGTTCATATAATTATATGAATCTCGTGAACATAGAAAAATATGATAAAAACAATTGTTTTTATCATATTTTTCTATGTTCAATAAAGAGTTATTATTGTGGTTTCCAGGAGAAACTGCATAGTAGGTGACCAAATATAGTACGTTAGCAATAGGGACTAAAGTCCTATTAATTTCTATCTTCTCTCTCTTAATGAATTACAAGTCTAACTTACAGCATAGGGTAAGCTGGAGGCTAGCCAAGACTTGGTTCTTGAGATGTTTATGGAATATGAACACAAAATCTAACCAAATTCCAAACATACCCAAAGTTAATAGAAAGTATGACTTGCTTGTGAAGTAAGCAAAGGTTTATTAATAATAAAGGAACAGGATAAGAGGCAGAATACTTTAAATGCCAGGATTAGTACATTCAAAAGCCCTAATAACGGGCTACGTTCACTCTACTACTCTAATAGACTAATACTCTTGAGTAAAAACAATATATACATCATGTCTAGGATTCTCACTGGTCACTGCAAATTAAATAAAAGTAGTTGTAACCCACTAAACGAAATATCTCCTTTGGAAAGTTACACTCTATCCTGAGGAGATAAAAACCATCGCTCCTATGTATATATCCTTCAATTCTTGTCCCTGACGGATTTAAAACAAACTCTGAAAAAGGGCGAACACAATAGCTCTCCAACTTCATGAAGGAGGACTGCTGGCCGAAGGGTATGGTATCGGCGCTACCGTAGGAGATTGCCGTCGTCAGTGCAGTGACCACACAGACAAGATCAATATATTAGTTTTAAAATATTATTTCATACGTATGTTAGTCTATAAGGTACTATATTTAGGATATAGGCCCATATATAGTTGCCTGAAATAAATATATAATAATATAATAGATCTATACAGGTTCTTTTTAACATCGAGTAATAGAGGGGATAGGGGATTGTTAGTAATGTGGATTAATGTCCCCTTTGCTAGCTATGTACCATGTCAGGTTGATCTCCACGCGGTTCCCCCTAGAAACCATTATGTTGAATTTTGGTGTATTTGCCACGATAGGCTAATTGACCTGCCCTCATGCTCATCCTATCATCCTCGGCTAGCGTAGGGAAAAGGGGATTGTTAGTAATCTGGACTATGTAGTCCACTTTAGCAATCCCCTCCCTGAACTCGTTGGAGGGGTCCAACGAGTTCAATCAATACACGTTATGGTTATAAAATTTCTAAAGAATATATGCTTTGTACCTGTCAATTAACTTATGAAGTATATCGTGGTTGATTGTATATCCAATGGAATTTATCGCAAGCCGTAGATCTAATACTGAAATGCCTTTGGAGCCATACGAATAGATGTGATATGTCGCCTACAAATAAATAATATATGTACCTGAGAACATTTAGGTATACATACAAATGCTTAATATTATAATATTACTAGCTGTGCTCTCGGTTTCACCCGCGTTAACATTCAGTATGTAAATTTCAATAAAAATTATAACCTATGTGTTATTTTTATGCATAAGCTGTATTACTGTAAAGTTTCATCAAAATCCATTCAGTAGTTTTTGCGTAAAAGAGTAACAAACAACATACTTACAAACTTTCGGATAAATGCGAAATTAATTCTGTCAGTTTGTTGCGATTTCATTCAGAACTACTGACTCCGAAAGGACATAGGCTACTTTTTAGTGCGAAAAAAACATTGTAAGGAGTTGAAAGCGGAGATGCGGAGACAGCTTATATAGTAGTATCGTCATTTTTTAAATAGAACGATGAAACTTTTTTGAGTTATAATCTAACCAAACATATTTTATTTATTTGGTTAAGGTTAGTATTCCATGCGGACGACATCGCGGGCACAGCTAGTATTCACTCATCACCATCTAGTCCCAAGCTAAGGAGCTTGAACTATGGGTACTAAACAACTTATAGAATTTCTTAAATATATATTGTTTGTAAATATATTAATAATAAACATAGAAAACATGAAAACTAATACAAACAATCGTACTCAAACACATGTTTGTATCATGCGAGGAATCGAACACACGACACGGTGATCTAAACGACTAGACCACTATAAATTATTTTGATTTAAAATTCAATCCACTGAACCTATTTCGATGATTTTTTTTAATAACGACAAAAAAGTAACAGAAAAAAATATCCAACTAAATTAGAAAACTCCTCCAGTACTAAAAAATAAAATATTCAATTGGGTTACTTGCCAGTTCTTCTCAATTGGATCTATATATTGAACGGACGGTTGGGAAAAAAATTAAAAATATAATGTAAAAAAAATTGACGTTTGGCTAATATGTGGATAATATGTCCTACATGAATAAATGATTTTAGAATTTGAATTTGAATTATAGATACGAAAATATGTTTACTGACCAGCCATGTATGGTAGTTCAACCAGAACTCTTTAAACTCATTATATTCCAACGTACCAGAGCCGTCTTTGTCCAACATATAAAGCATTTGCTGGCACACATCTTTGGACGTATTCAAACCTATAAAATAAAAAAGGAGCTGAAATATAAGAGGCTACAAAACAGTGAATATAAATCAAGATAGATAGATAGATACTGAAAAAGAAAATAAAGAGCAGTATTTGTATAACACTCGTAGTTTATTAATACTACTGACTCTATTTCTAGTAATGTCAGGTCGACTTATATAAATAGAATAGATAATACTGTATTTAAATAAAGTTAATTTAAGCACTTTCCAATAGTCATCACAATTTTTTAATCTGCCGCTTATTCGGATAATTGTCTCATTAAAAAAGAATGTGCAAGAAACTTGTGTGTTACTCATCTTTAAGTCGAAACGTGTGAATACAAAGTTCCGACTAGCACTAATTTATTAGGGTCAAATATAAATTCGCAGTAAAATTAAAACAGTCGTAGCAATTAGAGCAGACCAGTCCTTACAAGCAGCACTCGTTCACGAGTATGACATAAGCCAGTCATCACTACGCTCGACCATATTGTAGGGAGCTCAATGACCCGGCCCACCACGCCGCCACATGTCTAGACATTTTAGTGAGCATGACTACTCATTAGACGGTCGAGTCTATAGCTACTTAAAATTACCATATGGTAGTTACAGTAGTTATGTGGCCCCTCAGATCATGGTTAATTCGCTACGATGGGCCAACTGACCTGACTTCATGAACTTATCATCCTCCGCAAGTGCTGATAAATCAGGCGAATTATTTTTTCTAGTGGGTTTCATTTTATACTATGTATTGGCGACAGACCTCTTTTTATTAGGGTCAAATATAAATCTATATATAATATCTTTATATAGTTTCTTATTCTAAACCATATATATTTATTTTAAATTTTTGACATATATTTTTTATCACATTGTTTTTCTATTGTTGTGTCATATATAATATGTTACTAGGTAAACTAACTAAATAGACTACTGCAAGACTGGTAAGTTATTTACTTATTTTACCCTACATTCACTGCCGTTGTCAGACGTTTTACTATGTAAAGAAGACGTGCATATACAATTGTAAATAAACCTAAGTAAATAAGTAATTTATTTGTACTACAGGTAGATATACAAATATAAAATTATGCCACAGTGATATAAGCAGGCAGCGCTGTACAATGCCTCCTCTCTATATACAGTCTATGCATACAAATGTTTATTACCTAACAATTGTGAAAAAAGTTCTACAAAATGTATTTTTAATAAACTATATAAAATATTAACTATACCTCGTGTGGCTGAACGATGGAGTCGCTGTTTACCCTTCTCTTCCGAGTAAGACCAACAAGATAAAAAATTTATAAACTCAGCAACATCGGATGAGCCGTTAGTTCGATCTTTTATCCTCTCTGCAAGGATAATGCATAACTAATTATTGATTTATTAACTCACTAGTTGTATATATATTATATTTAGAGGATTTGATCCCGGTCGATTTTTATAATCCCGGTATTTCGGGATTATCTAAATTTAATACCGGGATCCCGGGATATTCCCGGGTTAGTATGGATGGATATTTGTTACTCTTTCACGTACAAATTACTGAACGGATTTTTATGAAACTTTACAGTAACATAGCTTATACAACAGAATATCATATCCTTAATCCTTAATAGATAGTATTATAAATGTGATAGTAGACATGTTTGTTACGCTTTCACGCAAAAACTACTGAACTGATCATCATGATATTTCTATCTATCTAGTATCTTTTTTTAATAAAGTGTATGCACACTTTATTAAAAAAAGATACTATTTATTTAAAAAAACAAATATTTTTTATTCAATGCGAGCGTAGCCGCGGTTAAAAGCTAATGGGCTATACTTTAAAAAGCTATTAGGTATGTAAATTTGGCGAAATATAAGATAAGTTTGATATGTAATATATAAGATAAATGTGATCAAGACAAAGTCGCACGCGTCAGCTAGTAATAAATATAAATTGGGTGAAATATAATAATAATTTCAAGTAACTGTGATGATGATTAATAACTTTCTTACCACCAGCTCTGGAAGGACCATCAAGTAAAGCCTTCAACTCTTCCCAATCAAGCTTATTGTCATTACCAGCCATTTGATTGAACATGCTCAACGTCGGGTCTAATTCAGCTACCGGCATATCTTTTACCTGTTTATACAAAAATCCATACAGTCTTAAGGGGTCTTCCTATGTGACGGCCTGTTTTTTAGGGATATTTTAGGATTTTTTTTCTACAACCAGTAAATATTTAGAGCTTCAAGTTTTTTATCATTTATTAACACATATTTGGACAGTATAAATATAAAATTTCAGCTAAAAATATTCAGTCAAACTAGAGTTACAGCGCTCTGAACACCCCCGCCTCGAAAAAAAGAGCTCCCACTCCTCCTCCACGATTCCGGCTGATCGGCTTATCTGAAGAAAAAAAAAAAACGGCGTTTTAATTTGTAGGCTTAAAAGCACGGAATGACCTATAATCAAATGAATATAAAAAAAATTGGATTTTTGATAGACATTTGAAATAAAAGTTTTAGGCGTTTTTTTTTTGTTTTTTGCTATAAAAAAATCGAAGTTTTGAAAATTTTCGATTGATAATAGTTCATTTCATGCGTTTATATATATTGAGTGTGCCCTGTAAATTTCAAGTAATTCGGTCCAGCCGTTTCTGAGATACAATGGAGGAAAGTTTGAAAAACACAGTTTTGAGAAAAACGCGTTTAAAGTTTCAAGTCCGTTAAAAACTATTAAAATATCAACTTACTCTCAATCGGCGATGCCTGGTCCATAGAGTATTCCTTCCTCTTCCTCGTGAAACTCTTTTAAAGCAGATTGTTCAGCTCTTAAGTCAATCCTGGCTTGTTTAACGACATCACTACGCGCCGCTCAAATAAGATTCGCTTTTCATCCCGTTTCTCAACATACGCTTGGGCTTCACGACCAACAGGGCATCCCATAATCGACATAACTTTTAAAATACCTTGAAAACCTTCATTAAAGATAATAACTGCTAAGTAGCTAGCAATTTCAACAACTTTGGGACCAGAATGAAGATGTTTAGGAGCGAAAGTCCAAATCAAAGAATTCAAAGATTCGTTATTGTTTTGTGTCTCTGCTCCTAAACAACGAATTAATAATTCGTCTTTCGATAAATCTTCGAAAACCGGTTTGATAGCTTCTTGGACTTGCGGAATTAGAGGTGGTTTATCGTGATGAAATTGGTCCATTCATTATTAGCTTCATATTACGCCATTTACACCAACTGTCTTCGCCTTCTGGACAAAATTGATGCTGAGGGTTTTCATCAGAAGAACATTTGTGATAGTACGTTGCCCATTCCTTTCTCATATCTTCAAGCGAATCTGGATGGCGTCGAATTGCTAATCCGTAGAATTTTGTAATTTCTTGGATAACTTCGGTAAAATATTGTAACAATAGAAATTTCTGTTTAAGTCTGTAGAAACGTGTCTAAACTTGTATAAACAAATATATTAATAAAAGGGAGGCCAGGTATAAAGCCGACGGTACACAATAGGCAACTGCCAACTCACCGCTCCGAACCGCTCTTTCTTTTACCTGCTGTATCTTTAAAACGACTTCGAAAAAATCCTTTACTACCTATTCTAGACATGTTAAGGGAGCAATTTATGAAAAAAAAAAAAATCGATTTTTTCAACCCATCACATAGGAAGACCCCCTTAAGAGGAAACGCGTCCAGTGTTTGTTCTATACAAAAATGGGAAGTACTTATGTATACAACAGTTTTACAAATCTTTGAATTTCCCGGCTTGTTCTATACTATAACATATATAATACATTTGTATTATATATACAACGGATTAATTATGCAACGGATTTTAATGCTGTTTTAGCAATAGATAGAGTGATTCAAAAGGAAGGTATATATATATATCTATTGCTAAAACAGCATTAAAATCCGTTGCATAATTTAAAAAATCTAAGCGAACAGACAATGGAAGCGATTTCCTTTTATACTATGCAAAACTGTTACTAGAGTTATTTTTTCGTAAAATGTACATTTAATAGAAACATCGGTCTATGTTGTCGTCTATTCAAATTTCCTCGTTACGAAACGTAAAGAGACATCTCCCAAAAGAAAATTTTCAACTTAACACGGCGCCGACTTTTCACAAGCAATAGCAAAGAACAATATATATATAAATAAATAATAATGAGTTGTATTCCGCACGTCAGATATCACGTTATCGTTAATGGTATCGCAAATGCCATTCTGGAAGATCGAGATATAAAGTCTACATACTCTCTAATATCACAAACTTGTCTATCACCCTTCAACCGGAATATAATACACGAGTATGTCATATCAAATCAAAATATCTTTATGTATGTAGGTCTATTACCGTCAGTTCAGAGTACTTTCGAGCTAAGAACTAACAGGAAACTCAGCACTTATTCTTTTAAAATAAGCTTGTATATCCATTACAAAAATGCAGATTCAATTTTAAATTCAATTAGAGAGGATGTGTGATCACCATTTCAAATAGCAAGCATCTTGACGGACGATCGATCCCCATCCAATTTTTACGGGGATCGATATTACGACGGCCTGAGCCGAGGTCGAACCCCTAGTGGTGCCCTCAGACTAAAGTCGTATCTGTCAGGCAAGAGTTGGCCTTCAGCCGCTCCATAAGTCCTTCCGCGGGTTTGGAGTGACATCTGCACTCGCCCCCTAATGTCCGGTGAAGCTGTAAAGGCCAGCTACGGCCAATAGCATTAGAGCAGTCCGAAAAAAAAGAAGAAAAAAAAGAGTTGTATTTCAACACTACTCACCCTTTCATCTACTTCAACCTTGCCAAATTCGTTATCGTGTTTTCTGAAAGAAAAAAAAACTAGTTATCCATTTTTTAATTAATTTCATCATAAACGTTATTTTTTAATGGGTGATATGAAATGAAATAAATTTTTTTAGAAACATTGTCTAATTAGATTCATTACTATACGCATTCATTTTTACGATTGTTCAGTCCTATATTTCAATATAGATCTCGGTGGTTTAGCCCACCGCCTTACTTCCGATGGTCGCGGGTTCGATTCCTCGCACGGCACAAACATTTGTATTCATGAGTATCATACTCATAATATACTTTGTATCATTCTGGGTGTTTTCTATTTGTATCAGTTACCTAGTACCCATAACACAAGCTTTAGCTAGCTTAACCTGGGTCTAGATCGCGCTGTGTGAATTGTCCTGAGATTATTACTATTATTATTATTATATTGTATTGTATGATACACCCGCCTGCCCCAACAGTATATGGTACTAGTGGAGCATGATATTATGATAATTCAGAACTAATTAGTTGCGATGATTTCCAAACCAGAACCCTTGACACACAGACATCAGCACAATTCCATTTCACTACTTAATGGATTTATATTATGACTGATCAGTCAACACTAAGCTTCCAAGTTATATCTGAACTCTATTCATTGCCTGATGATGGCGTCATCAGGCATTGCACATCACATCAGGCACCCATATTGCAACACGTGTTTCGAGACTCAATAACGGTCGGAATTTGATCGCCATTAGAGAAGGTCGTAACGGTAGTAAGTTTCCACTCTGAATATTTGTGGTCTCACACAAGCTAATCGAAGCGGCATTAAACAAAATAATATAAATCCACATATTTATATACACATATTGCCATACAAATTAAAATTTCTATTAAAAATAAGGGTTGGTGATAGAAGGGTGAAAATTTAGGCCTGTATGTATTTTAAATGCCACATAATAAAAAAATAAAAAAAGGATAAAAAAATTTTGGGGTGGGCCACCTTGATACTTAGGGGTATAAAAACCTATTCCCAAACCTCCTGAATATAAATATAAAATTTCATCAAAATCAGTCACATTTTGAAAAAATCATCAAATTAACGTTACTTACATCATATCGTGAACACTTTCTGTGTACACGCGAAGAAGGAACTCGCCCTCTTCATGTGGTTTTGACGTATACGGTATTATGACATACGATCCGGGCTTCAGTTTGAATCTGAAAAGAAAAATCCCGAATTATAACGACCCTTAAGAAACCTTCTATAACCCTACTTTAAAAATCTCATGCTGTAGTCTCGCGAGAAAACATTGTGTTTCGGTTTTTTTATTGATGACATGATGTACCCACCTGCGCTAACGGTTTACTCTGATGTGGCACCAGTGGAGGATGATAAGATGAATATGAAGCCAGGCCAGTTAGCCCATCATGATAAAATTCACCTGGAATTTGTCACGATGGTTTCCAAGTGGAACCGCGTCGCAATGTACCATATCAGATTGGCCTAATCTGATATTATAGATTGCTAGCAATGAAGTCATCAGTCCATATTTCTAACAATCTTGTTTCACCCTGTGTTTTGGTTTTGAAGATGTGATATGGTAGTGAAATCAAGGTACTAGCTTAGACAGCTTGACACCGCTCTCCATAATTAATTCTTCTTAATTGGCGGCCTTCATAGTCACCAGTTTACCACACTTCTTTACGTTTGATGGTCACGGGTTCGATTCTCCGCATGGTACAAAAAAATATTCATGAATATAATTGCTTTTTCTATACTACGATGGTGGCAAACGAGCATAAGGCCTGAGACGCCAGAGGCAATGCCGATCCTTAAGAAACTTTAAAATACCCTTCCTAGGGTTTATGGGATCCATAGGGTTTTTCACCCTATGCTGTAGTCACCTGAGAAAACCCTCAGCAGGTAGTTCATTCTACAATCTAAGCAAGGGAGGAATCTCTTTGCTTGTATAATATGTTGCTTGTATTAGACTAGTCTTGGATAATTTCTATGTATATTACGTATGTATTTAAAAAAAATAGTATTCTATCACTTGTCTAGTATAACACAAGTTCTGCTTAGCTTGAGACTAGATGTCGATGTGTGAATTGTACTGGGTTATTACTATTATTTAAAAAAATTACAACGCATGAAGGGTAGATCAATAAAATGTACAATATTCAGGTGTATAGGAAACGGTCTGTTTAATAGAATTAAAAAAGATGGACGTTAACCTTTTGCTAATTTCTCTCATGCGTGACTTGCTTGAGTGTCCTATGGGCTTGTTCGCTTTGAAGAACTTCATATTCAATGGTTTCGGTACACCTTTTTCTGGTAATCGATATATTTCGAAACCTACTTCTAGATACTGGAGGTTTTTCCAACGACGATTCTTTTGCATCAGGGCCACGATTATCTGAAATCAAATCAAAATATGTATATTCGTGTAGGTCTATTATAGACTACTATAATATGTAAAATGTACCGTCAGTTCGAAATACATTTAAGCTATGAAGAAATGACAAGAAATTCAGATCATATTCTTTTCAACTAAGCTTGTTTATACATACAAAAAAATGCATATTCATTTTTAAATTCAATGAGGCAGCATATAGTGACAGCCAATTTATGCTATTGCATTTTTGTCAAAAAGAAACGAATCTGTGGCCGTAACCCAAATATATAATGAGGAACATATAAAAAAGTAATAAGTTTATAAACAATCTTTTTTCTACATCATAATCCTTATTTCTACATCATAATATAGAAATAAGGATGATATTTTCACAGAATAATTTGTTACATATAGATAAACATATACGAAAGAAACTTGAAAAAAATATCCCCGTAAAATAATTATTATTGTCAATATTTTAAAAATAATGATTTCACCCATAATTTTAGGGATATTATTCTCAAGGTTCTTTATTCTTATTTCATTCCCCACTTATTATTTTATTAATTGGTAACCTATACAATTCATACAGACATCTAGTCCCACGTTAAGCAGAACTTATGTTATGGGTACTAGACACCTACAAATACGTGGTTTTTTCATGTAAATACATACATAATATACATAGAAAATATCCAGACAAACAATCATTCATTCTCATGACTACAAATTTTTGCACCGTGCGAGGCATCGGATCCGCCACCATCAGAAGTAAAGCGCTGCGTTAATTAATTTATTATACATATATATATTATTTATTGTTGTCCTTTCATTATCATTACTAGATGGCGCCTAAAAATATATGAATACACAAAGTGGCGTGCATAGCTATGTATAGTGTATGACGTTTCCGAAAATTTATTTGGAGAAAAATTTTCACTTTTTTTTCTATTACTTGTTAGTCTCCTATTATTGAGTGCTAAATTAGGGAGAAAAACACTAGTTTAGAACATCACTGCTCTTTATATATATAAATATATGTTTATATATATATTAATATAGATAAGCTACAAGGGTCTAAATGACCTGACCTCATGCTCATCGTATTATGGTCTACTAATGCGCCAACTTATACCGTTAGAACAACCGCGTGCACCATACTCATCATTAAAAATCACTAACCGTGCATAAGTCATCGTCATCTTCTTCATCGGTGTCGACAACTTTTATGATGTACTGAGGGTTGACATGGAAATGTGGCATATCATGGTATCCGCCCGCAGTCACGCCTGTACAAGCAAATGGTCATGAATATATGTACTAGCTGTGCCCGTGGTTTCACCCGAATTAATCAATATAAATAAGCTATATTACTGTACATTTTCATCAAAATCCTTTCAGTAGTTTTTGCGTGAAAGAGTAACAAACATCCATACTTATAATTTTTCTCGTTTATAATATTATTAAGATCCTTTATTGTACTTTTAGATACAAGATTTCAAATACATGTTACAAATTTTGTTAGAAAAGGAGGACTTATCTCTAAAAGTCGTATCCGTTAGGCGGGAGTTGGCCTTCAGCCGCTCCATATGTCCTTCCGCGGGTTTGTAGTGCTGTCTGCACTCGCCCCCTATCGTCACTTACAGCTTCACCGGAGAAGCTGTAAAGGCCAGCTGCGGCCATCAGCATTAGAATAGTCCACAAAAAATACTTTCTTTTGGTTACGCATACTTATTATTTCACTAATCAGTTTGTTTGCTATTCCAGTTACAATAATAAATATATAAATGGTAAGATTTACTTAAATTGCCGTGACAAAAATTATGGAAACGAAAATTATGGACGGGCCAATAATTAAAAGTTTTACTATGTTCCCCCTTAATACCTTTGGTCCATTGTCCTTCAAACACGGTTACCTCCCATTTCTTGATTTCCTCTTCAAAATCCTCTAGATGTAACGAATCGGGGTTCAAATTACATAATTCCACGCTGAAAACAATTTTACTTAACAATTACAAAATTATATACTCAACAATCATCAACTATTTAGTAATAATAGTTAGCTATTACAGTACTATAGCTTACAATAACAAAACATACATACCACCTAGACCGATACAAACTCATGAATACAAATGTGTGTACCCTGCGAGAAATAGATACCGCGACCATCGGATAGTAAAGCGGTATGCTATACCACTACACCACCGAGGCTGTCAAGATTTCACTCATTTCATATCACAAATGAATGGGTGAATGGTTTTTCGAGAGTAGTGGGTCTCAAGATGGCGGCCTATGAACGCCGAGTCACCGGCATTATACGAGCAGCCCGCGAACGGAACGGACGAGTTGTGGACAGTGGCCTAGTTAGGTAACGAAGGGCCCTAGAGCAAACCAATAACATTACAGTTTTATTAATACGCACATATCGCTATCCGTCAAATTGACAACACTGCCAATCCACAGAAAGAATTTAGGGGAATTCCGAAGGAATGACTTTCGAATTTCTCTCAACTGAGTTGCCATGATAAAATGTTGCAACCTGTCATATTTATTTTGAAAATGAGAGACTTTTCAAAAGTTCAATTCGATCAACACTTTCTGGTAAGAGTTCGAGGGCCCCCTAAGCTCGAGAGCCCAGGGGCACTGCCCCGCCTAGCCCCTAAGTAGCTACGCCACTGGTTGTGGGCAGGTTTATTATAATTAACAATGTGAGCTATGTTCGTTATAATCATATAAAAAGCACGTACTGTGTGAAACGATGCTTAAAATCCTGGTATGACATCCAGAATTCACCGTCGGAATCAACGACCAACCCGACCTTTTGCCTCTCCTCATCAGAAAGGGACTGCCACTGTTTGGACCTGCAATCAATTAACCACTATAATTTTTTTTACTTGTAACTAGGCCATTGTTCAGTGGTGGACATCTTCCGCGCTGAAATAATGATGATGATGAACTAGAATGACAAACATGATGACGGCCCACCTAGTACACGATAGTATTCGTCTAAGTACCATGCAAATATATATAGGGGTAAAATTAACAACAGCCAGGTGTTGAGTTGTGTGGCGTTCTATGTTCCGGACAAATATGTATGGTCTCGTCGCCGACCGCCACTGCTGACTGTGCCGCGCGGAACCACGCACTTAATAGGCAAAGCACCGGTCACAAGAGCACTGCGTACATTAAACCATATAAAGGAGCAAATAGATCTATTTTCTTGTTCTCTGAATGAGTTCACAAAGATCGCTTTATTTATTATAAGTTATAATTAATTAAAAAAAATAATGTTTGTTGCACTATTGTATTAGGCTAAGACCTGTGAAAATAGATGTAAGTGTGGAAAATATTACACCGTTACTCGTGTTCTCATTGAACCATGCCATGATGATATTTGTATTTCAAAATACCAAATAGTTGTGCGTTTTGTATTTTAAATGTCAAATGCAAAATACCTATTTACCATTTGAAAATTAAAATACAAAACAACGATACACGAAGACTGTCGCGTATCGTTGCTGCTGCCGCTCCGTAACAAATAATATTTATATATAATAATATTTCTTCTTTCACTTATATGTACTTTTCAATTCGAGCGTCTGAACCGAACTGGTTCTATTTTTAAAGTAGTAGGTCGTTAGGAGTGTTATGTTCAAATCAGAACTTATATCTTGTATTCAATAATAAACATGATTACATCAAAATTCTAGAACATACATTTTATATCGTACTTATAATCAGATTTAATCTTTATTATTTATATACTTTCTTTAAGTTTATAAGTATAAATCATATTAATTAATCAATAATATATTGTGGTGGTTATCTTACTCAAACTAGGTGGCGTGCGTTGGTTTCACTGAAATCTGCATAAGCGGAGCATGCTGGCGAACGGTTACCGTTGACGGTAATATATTATTTAATTCGTAGAAAATAAAAATATATACATTTATTATGGAGATTTTTCACCAAACTGTACGTGAAAAGACGTGGTCGTTAAACCGGCTATTTGACCCTACCGTACATAATTCACTATATCTACCTAGATGTAGTAATAATATTTTATGAAAAATAAAAACCTTTCAGCTTGTACTGTATTTAAACATTATATTAATTTAAATAAGAAGCTAAGTCGTGCTACACATTTACTTTGGTAATTATCGCCATTTTCACAATACAGACTCCGCAAATGCATAGAGTCGTTACTACTATACATGTTATAAATAAATTACACCAAACACTATACATACTACACAGCTATAGTGTGTTCTCATGTGAAAGGGGAACTATTACAATATCAAGGTTCCATCTGTATCCATTTGTTTCATCTGTACATCTCTTAAATATGACATGATTTATTCAAAAGATACAAACTTGTCGCTCCAAGGGCCGTTCCATTCCTTTTCATTGCCCCAGGGGTTGCGCAGACGCAACATTGGGATTTTTACTGACTTCTTAGTCTCAATAAATCTGACGCATGTCACAGAGTACGCATGCCAGCAGATCAACCCCTCCGCTTTTTTTCGATAGGAATCCGAATTACTCTGCAAGAAGTTATAATAATGTTCAGATTTATTGCTTAGGAGTAATATCAATATACATAAATGCTGGAACAATTTACCACCCTGATTCAAAATACTATTCAGTCAGTTTCATCGTTTAAACATAATTTTAAAAAATATTTACTCCAAGTACAAACATCTTAAACGTGGCAAATAAATGCAGTAGTTATATATACATATATATTGAATATATATGTTACTTATATTATATTCAAGCTATACTATATTACACAATTAAGTCTTTCAATCAATACTTTTACGAAATTTTATCCTTATATATTTTTCTTCTATTTACACATACTTATAATTCATACATTTAACTCACTCTTCATTTTATATATTTAAATTCATCAAGAATGCTATTTATTTTTTTCAAGGGGCTCCACTGAAAATCAGCGCTGTAGTGATACGCTGCGGCACCAGCTGAGTGGAGGCCCTTTCAGCTCATAGCGACATATTAGTTTTTAAGTTTTCTCTTTTACTCTGTACTATGATGCTGAATAAATGATTATTATTATTTCATTTTTGTAATATAATAATAATGAAATTCATTATTGCGCACTAAAATCTTAAGTAAAATAAAACACAAACGCTAACAGTTCAATTATTGCGATAAAATGAAATAGAAATAATCTTTATTCAAATAAACTTAATAAATGCACTTTTAAACGGTCGAGCGAAACGAGTAAGAAACTTGCGTGTTGGGCTTTTAAATAAAAGTTGTTCAGAATTACATTTTTTAAAACTTGAAATAGAAGCTTTGAATAGAGAAAGGTAGGTTATATTGTTATGGTAAGTGGTAGTCGTCACCTATAACAATATCTAATAATTGCCCCAGACACTCACACATTTACATAGCGCCATCTAGTCCCAATCTAAGCAAAGATTGTGTTATGAGTAGTACTCATATATTTCTATCAGATATCTAGTAAGATATCTGATAGAAATACTTAGATACACTTTTTTAATACATACATAATGTATATAGATAATACCTATATATATTATGTATATATTTTTTTTAAAATGTGTATAATTTACATAAATCGGTAAAGTTGTGTGCTAAACCACCGAACTCTATATAATTAAGAATAAATATCCTAAAGAATATGATTAGATCCGTTCAGTCGTTTAGTCATGAAACGCAACCGTACAGAGAGCATTTCTAATATTAGTAAATTGGCTTGACGTAACTTGCCATTTCCACCACCACTTATTTACGATGGTTACATAAAAAAAGTAATAATAGGTGCAGCATATTCTTCTATACTTTACTTGGATAGAGCAACCAATAAGTGTGTTCCTCTTGTAGGCCTTCAGCAAGATATTATAAAAGCTTTTCGGCAATTTCTTCATGGAGTATGTCTCTGACACCCCACCGGTGATGTCTTCCATCCCCTCGCTTATTGATCCACCTTTGAGTGAACCGTACGACCCGTGCAATCTATGGTTTAAATTAATAATCGAATGTATAAAACTCTCTTGTCAGTGTTTATAACAGAGAATTTTGTGTCTACAGAGATACAAATTCTCTGTTGTAAGAGTATTTTGTGTACAGACACAAAATACTCTTTTAAGGAGATGAATGTACACGTCCCTATAGGGTATAGGTCTAGGACCTACTTCGTCGAGAACCTGGGAGCTTAAAGTGATAGATGCGAGAGACAGAATAGTAGTGTTTTTATTGAGGAAATGTTCCGACCTTATATAGGAAGTTATACGTGTCGCACTGCTGCCGGTAGCAACGGTTGGAAGTCGCGCAGCTGCGTTGCAAATGTTACACGTGCCGTAGGATATTAGTTCTAGGAAGTTGCAAGGACTAAAGTGTGGCTAAACTTTTTAGTATTTCATTGATTCTCCATACGGGTGCCGGGTCCATCATGTAACAGAGAGGGAAACTCTGAGCAGTTCCCGGGACTGTGACCCGGGTGTAGGTTTAAAGACCCCCCTTTGCCGGCGTACGTCTTCACTAACCTTCACTGGTCGTGTTTTTTCGTATTGTTTTCAATTACTTACTAGCTACTCGCCCCGGCTTCGCACGGTCTTTGCTCTTCGCACGTGTACATATATTATACTACTTAGCCTTTCACTTGCTATCCTCTTATTCCATACATATTTGTTATAAGTTATTTTTTTATGTGATACAGTATCAAAGGCCTTACTCATATCAAACTGCCGTGACATGAGCGCCCCTATCCATATGGGATAGCACATTATTTATGAAATTATTTATGAATTATTATTGAAAACCTTTTTGAACCAATGTTATCAATTTAAAGGTTCTAGTATAGACCTTACTGCAGTGTATACAGACCAAGATCTTTTAGAAGATTGTAGAGAATTTGCTAGTATACTTCTTACTCCCAATTAGACCACATACAAATCAACCACATAGCCAGTTTTCGTTAATTCGTTTCTTAGATTGATGTAATATTTATTTGTTTTTATTCCATGGTCTTTAGGTATATTTGTTTCCCATAGTACAGTGAGCTCTACCAATATTACACGTTTAGTTGTTTTTTATAATATATTTAATTAGATGATGAAACACTTAGATAAACTAGGTTTATACATATATACATTATTTATATGTATCTGACACTTAGTGTCAGATACATATGTATAAATAAATAGGTATGTTTTTGATTTTGATTTGATTTTTCTTATTCATGACAGTGCACTATCCTTATCAATAAATTTTAATGATTGATAGACAATTTGATAAATATCCTATCTACTTTAGTAGCGGATGCAATAAATAACTGTGCAATATTTGAAAATTAAAATTCTCTTGAATTTTATGATATGAATCTATACTTATTTTTGGTAACTACAATAGCAAACAAACAGAGCCAACCTATATAATAGTAAGATACGTAAGTGTAATGCTTTATTTGTACAGACCTTAGATTACAAAGTTAAAAGGAGCAATACATGACAGTTGAAGTTAGGTTCTAAGTAATCAAATGGCAAAAAGTTGCGCAATACAAAATGATAACCCCGATAACCTAAACTAGGTATTACACCTGTGCTATAGGTATCAATGCTCTCTTGTAACATGTACTGTACATTACATTTGTTACATGACGTAGACACTTAAGGGTATGTGTGCTATAGATAAATAGCAGCACATAGATCACGTCATCTAGTGACAGACATTTTCATTCTTCAATCGACTACCTCCCAGGCAGATGAGTGACGAGGGGGTGTTTGGAATTCTTAAACAAAACTACAAACATATGGAGTACCTACGAGCGACATTGCCTGAGTCTATAAATTAGATTAACATTCCACCGCGACTCAGGCGACGTTGCCCCGCCCTATAAACAACTACCTACATTATGGCGGTCCTCCACCGTGCAGTTTTCTATAAACTTTTTACCACGCACAACCACATTGTGGAATTACCTTCTAAAATGATATTTCCGAACCGATACGATATTAAACTTTCAAAAAAAGAACTTAGTCCTTCTTAAAAGGCCAGCAACGCACATGCAATATCTCTGGTATTGCGGGAGCTCATGGGCGGCGGTAATCACTTACCATCAGGTGAGCGCGTGCACGTTTGTCTACTATGCGATATAAAAATTAGCACTTCCCTTACAATAATCACTTACTTTGCATACGCCTTTTCGAACAGTGCACTCCAGAACTCATTCTCCGCTGTGGATCGCAGGTTGATCAGCTTGCCATTGCGAGTTGGCAGCCGATCATCAATCACCACATCCACCCAACGCCCATACTGCCAGAACCTAGACGGTGTTTTCATACATACATTACATTTAGTCTGCAGACTGCTATTGTAGTTAATAAATGATCGGGGGAAAGATTATTGATTGTTCAATTCCTATTGCGACTACTTTGTATAGGACTACCTCGAGAAAGATTGTTAGAACGAGGCCTTACAAATATGAGTGTTGCCATGGCGGTAAAACATAAAAAAATAAAAAATAAAATAAAATTTAGCAGAGGTTTTCGAGACTTTACATTTTTGTTTCACAAAATTCATATAACTATAAACATTTTGTATTATTTATTGTCCTTATCGTCCAGTTCAGTATACAGATTCAACCGAAGAACTGGAAAGAAACTCAACAGATTTTTTTAAGCTAATTTTGTACTTATGTAGGTGCCATTCACGTTTGTCATACAAGAAATCGGTTAGTGTGTATTCTAGATTAGTATAGTGTCCAGTATTTATCTTATGAATAATTAAAAAATCTTACCAGAAATGAAAAATGCCCGCATAGTTCTCATCGAAGCTCTGCTCACTAGGTATCACTTGTTTCATCAAACTGGAACAAGTAATAACAATAATATAGGCCAATTCTTACAGCGTCTTCTAGTTAGTCACAAACTAAACAGAGTGGTTACTAGACAACTTATATAAATATTTTATTTTGCAAATACATGCATAATAAACAAACAAAACAACCAGACCGATACAAACAATCATACTGATCAGCTCAAATGTTTGTACCGTGTGAGGACTCGAACCCGCGACCACCGTTTTTAAGGCGATGCTGTACTAAACCGCTAGATTACTGAGGTCAAAAAGAAACTAGTGAAATTGTAGGCGAGGTATCAGTCCTCAGGAATGGCAATGCATGGGCTGTACCACGTCGTCACATGATGCGTAATATCCAGAGTGCTATTCATGTACATAGACTCTAGTTACTACTTACCATCAGGAGCGCCGTCAGCTCGTTAGCTATCCCAATTATTAGCTATGTTACTAGGGACTGTACTTATATTCGGGTTTATTGTGTATATAGGTATTTTATTATAATAATAGTAAAATGCAGACATAAATAGTATAAAATAATAATGAAGAGCACAAAAAATAATCGGTACGTCTGCAGAAGAAGACACTTTTATAGTCTTTTCTTTTCCCGCGCAAACGCAATGCGCCACATTTGCAGTATGGCGAACGCGTCATGGTTGTATACGCTATGTTAATACTAGTATGAGTACTAACACTAATTATGAATTCTTTCATTACACAAAGTATGAGTGTGTTGCATATGCAGTGTACAGCCATATTGAAAAGTGCTGAAGAGCAGAACTTGCACGCACCGCAATGGATATTGCATGCATGAATAATATCGCATGAACGAGACCGCAATATCCCATTTTTTTTTTTCAATATTAGTTGAACAGTTTTAATTGGAATCTTGTTAAATTTATATTAAATCTGTAAAACGGTGTCTTATGGCAACTGGGATTTACGATACGAGTTCTGAGGTAGGTACATACGTTCAAGGATTAAACGGTGTAACACCTATTTTAGTTATAGGTTTAGTTACTAAGAATGTAGGTAAAAATTTAATTGAACATTAAAATCATTTGTTTTTTGCCTGCTGGATGGGACTATGCGTAATTAGTGAGTAGTGTTACCATGTTGATTGTTTCGTGTTTTAGTATATATATCCTACCATATTTAAATATATGTTTTCAATTCGAATGAAATAAAAAAACTTACTAATTGTACATTGTGAGATTTGCTAATGCAGCAAGCAGCCAGCAATTTCCTAAATCTCCTTGTCGTATGTCGAAGCGACTCAGGCCCTCCACAAATAGTTTTGGATTGGCGCATATTTCCTAAAACATAATAAATTTTACAAACTCTTTAAGTTTCATCGTGGTAGTCTTTGTACTAAGTTGTGTAATAAAATTTAAACATTTGATAGTTTTTAAACAGATATTATTAATTATTAGGATTTCCTTTTCCTTGTGTAATATGATTTGGAAGCAGCGTAATAAGTATGTTTAATTATTTCTTTGTTGCATTACTTCTTTGTAGTCATATCATCTTTCACATAGTCTATCTATCTCTTTTTCTCCTCTCTCTTTGCCTTCCTCTACCCCTATATCATCAACATTTAAAAATTCACCGTAGACTTTGTCCACAGTTGTGGGTACATCTTCCTAATCTATTCTTATCAAGTAGATAGCTTTGTATACTATGTTCTGGTTGAAAGAGTAAAATATGGCAGTGGAATTACAGGGTACAGAGACCTTACTCCTCAGGAATGGTTACTCTTAAGATGTATATCTGACATCATAAATTCTATGATATCCGTGATGCTGTTTATGTATATAGCCGAGGGTTGCCACTCATCATCAGATAGGCCGAGAACTTGTCTGTCATTTCGGTTAATTTAATAAATAATAAATACCCTGGGTATAATAAATACCCTAATAAATACCAATTAACACAGTGCCATCTAGTCCCACGGTAAGCAGAGCTTGCGTTATGGGTACTAGACAACTGATAAAAATACTTAGATATTATTATTTTTTGTAAATACATACATAAATATACATATATCCGTTATAATATACAGAAAAAATATATAAATATTATATTAAGAAGAATAGATGCTCACATGAGGTCGTAGCCAAATAACTGGCTCATCAGGCGACTTTTCGGACAGAGCGTCATCGACAGGAGGGAACTCGGGATCTTCGAATAGCTTTTTCTGTTTTAAACAGTCATACTTGATGGTCTTGTAGTCCTGACATACGGTATTCGATCGAACCTCGCCAAGCTATGAAAATAATAAAAAACCTAAAAAACCTAGGATAATTCACGCAGCACCAAACTAATTGGGAAGGGGGCTGTTATTCGTAGATAACCACAAAAGGTATATCTATACATATAAATAAAATTGGAGTGTCTGTTTGTAATATTAAAATAACCGTTTTTTACTACATGCATTCATATGCATATTTATATTCATATATAAATACGGTACCTACATCAAAATATCGTTTTTTATCATTTTTATCTGTCTGTCTGCCTGTCTGTTTGTTCCGGCTAATCTCTGAAATGGTTGGACCGATTTTGACGAACTTTTTTTAGCAGGTAGCTGATGTAATAAGGTAACTTAGACAAATTTTATTTTAAATTAAATTCTACACGGACGCAGTCACGAGAACAGCTAGTCATAAATATATGTATATAAAATAGAGAGATGTGCAAATGGCTAGACTAACCTATCTAGCCATTAGGTTGTAGATCCTTCAGCAGTTTAGTCGTAAACAGACAAAGAAACAGACTTTCTCATTTAAAGTATTAAGTGTAATTACTAACATTAATTTTAAAGTATGTACAAGTAAAATAAAACACGTACCCAAAAAACTTGCTGGCCTGTACGCGTGTAAATCTTACTCCCTTTGTATCCAGGCGCTAAATTTAATTTGTGGTCCCTACTTTCAGACACTGACAGTAGATGTAACATGGTCACTTTTGTATTTATACAACGCTGTATAGATACGCCTGACAAATCACCTCACGAAATTTTACTCTTTCCAATGTCTATTTATGATAGCAGTTTAACATTTAGAATTGTTATGTCGTTTATTTCAGCCCAATTGATGATCTTTAAATTGTAGTGTGAACTGAAATTAATATACACAATTAGTATTGACATAATAATAATTTCATTAGGGGGGAAGGGAATTGTTAGTAATGTGGACTAGTAACCCCAGTGCTAGCAATGCACTATGTCAGGTTGACTTCCACGTATTTCCCCCTGGAATATATTTCTTCGTTATAAATTCACGTGAATTTGCCACGATGAGCCAGCTGACCTGACCTCGTGTTCATCTAATCATCCTCCACTGACGGTATGGAAAAAAAATTATAATGTAAAAACTTGACGTTCATAAGCGGCTAAAATGTCCTACGTAAATAAATGATTTTTGAATTTGAACTGGTGCTCCTCCGCTCCGACGTAAACTATTCGCGCAGGCGAGTGCACCATTCGATTATCATCCATAAAAAAAATACACAAATGTTATACCAGGTGGAGCAGTCAGTGGCATTGTCCACCATAGTCATGGTAAACCGAATTTACTCAGCAACGAAATGTAGATACACATTGTTGAGTAAATACTCAACAATGTGATACTCTTATCGTATTTGAATCCACTTCGGAAGCTAAAATATTTTTTTTATTTACCTAGTATTAGGTACAGCGCTGGAAATTACCTTACAGCCAATAAAATAGATTTTTGTAGGTTACCTATTCATTATTATTACTAGAGCATCCTTATGGTATTGATGACGAAGTCATATATAAATGAATAAAGAAACCATGCATTCAAATAAAAAACATTCATAATAATATATGCTGTTAGTTATATAAATATTAATTTATGTTTTATATATTACGATAATATAATATATATAATATTACCCTAATATAAAACATTCCAATATTATATGTCGTAGATCTTATCTGCGTTTTTTGCAGTGGTCGCAACTTTAGGAAGAATAAAGATTTGTTATACGTGTTTCCACAACCATGATTTCAGTCACAAATATTAAGTTACTAGATTTTGGTGTGTGTATCTTTATGTGCTATTATTTACCCTAAGGCATAAACTGAAAATCTGAGGCAGCAGTAATACACTGAGCGGCGTCCAAGCAAATATTTTTTTAGTAACTACTTTATAGTAGCATATTGGATTTTAATTATTTTATTACATTATGTTGTGGCTGCGTTGTATATGAACATGTATGTACATGTATACATGCCGCCAATTTAATTTGATTTGTAATGCATGATAATGAAATTAATGTAAATAATATATGCTAAAGAAATGTATATATTTACTATTAGTGATCACTCTTTTCTCTCTAATTTGAATTAAAAATAAATCTGTATCTTTGTAAAAATATAATGTACTTGCAAATCAATATTTTTTAAAATTATATCAATAATATTGGCTTAATAAATGTATATTATGATTGTTTGATCTTACTGGTTGTCACTCTTCTCCCTAATTTGAATTTAAAAATGAATCTGTGATTTTGTAAAAATATAACGAACTTTTAAATCACTATTATTTAAAAATAAAAATATTAAATTGCCACATTATAAAACTTTAAATTATAAAAAAGAACACATTAGACGTAGGTACTTACCCAATGACAATTCGTTGTGAAATGTCTATAGGCACCCTGCACTTAGTACAACATTAAATATCTAATCGGGGTAATAAACTCAAATATCTAATACGATACGATACGTAATCAATACATACACAGAATTCGCTAATAATATATATCTGACAGTTTTTGAATGTATATTATTATTATTTATGATTTGGTATCAGCGTAACAATTATCTTTTATCTGCCGTTCATCTCAGTTGCATTCATCTCGTTAATCACTTCCTTTCTTGCCTTATGTACTAATATACTCCTTATGACATTAGCTATCCGCGAGTGAGTAAGACTTGAACTGGCTGCTTGCTCATATTAATCGTATTATCCTCCACTGATGCCCCGTCAGCATAATAATATACGGTTAGTGAAGTGCATATCACACAAAAAAAAATATTGGGACACCTATAAATAGAATAGGCGGGTCGACAGAATAGGGATTTCCCCTCAAATTGATAATATCCATAACATGTTCAAATAAATATTAGATGAAGCGGCGTGTCAGTATAGACTACAGAACGGATAAGTCGTTGTATAGACTGCAATGAAGGATTTCCCCATTTTGCGGGATTTTGTGGCGATTGAGGAAATTGAGCGGATTAAATGTGAAATAAAATCTAGTAAATTCATCCAAGATAAGTTAATTTGGACTGACTTGATCGTCATCCTATCATGAAGTACAAGTATTGTTAATAATGGAGAACTAGTGGATCATTGCTAAAAATGTACTTCGTCTGATCGACTTCCACGCGGCGTTCCTCATAACCTTTATTTTATTGGTTGATCATAGAATGGTTCAATTGCTTGCGTTAACAGTATACGCTGGCGGGACACCAGTGGAGGATATTAGGATGAACATGATATAAGATCTCCAGTATTCCAGGTATACCGCATGGAGGTCAACTTGACATGGTACATTGCTAGCTATGGGATCATCAATCCACATTACTAACAATCCTAGTGTAGTGGGTATGTTGTACATTAACATATAACTATTATTGTAGAACTTGAAGGTAGGTCTATTAGTTAAATAAATCAGTTGTCATCCAAACGTTGTTTGATTCGATACACATACAACATGGTGTCAGGTGTGAAAACTAATTTTAGTAAAGTTAAAAAATATTAATATTGTTTTGCTTATGGTCATCTTGTGTGAATAATGACAAGTGAAAAGATGAGTTCAAGGCGCGATGATAGCGTATTTACGGCGATACAACAACCGGCACCGATGCAACAAGACGGGAATATGGCGACCAATTGGCGTGAATGGAAAATGGCATTCGATTGTTTCTTAATTGCTTCTGGAAAAGAATCCGCTTCGTCAAAGGAGAAGTGTGCACTTTTCATGCATGTTATTGGAAAATATGGAAGAGAAATTTTTGAAGAACTAGATATATCGGATATTGAATTTGATTATGAAAAATTATGCATTACGTTTGGTGAACACTGCGACCCAAAGAAAAATGTTAATTACGAACGGCACATATTTTTCGAAACATATCAAGCTGAAGATAATTTTGATAAATTTATTGGTGCCTTAAAAATAAAAAGCAAGAATTGTGAGTTTGGATTATTAAAAAACAGTTTAATATTAACTCAGTTGATACGTGGAATTAAAGATGCCCAAATGAGAGAAAAACTGTTGGCAAAATCATCGATGTCCTTGGATGAGGCAATACAGTGGTGTCGTGCAGCGGAACGTGCTACAGAACAGGCAGCGGCGTGTTGCAGTCGACAACCGAACATCAGTGTGGAGCAGATGACGAGGCAAACGAGGACTACTTCAGCACAACGCCAGTGGTACAACCCAGGTGCTAATGTCAGGACTCGCGGCGGTGATGGGAGGCTGGCTACGTCGGGGAGGCGCGCGTTTGGACTACAACCGCAGTGGCGCAGCGGTGACAACGGAGCGGCTGGCCGCGGCCGGTATACAGGTTCACCTGTATGTACTAAATGTAATTTACTGCACAAGGTTAGTGATCGCTGTCCGGCTTTTTCAATGAGATGTTATCGTTGTGATAAAATCGGTCATTTCGCGAAATGTTGTAAAATAAAATTTACACATGAAGTGACAGAAGTAACTGACACCCCTGAGTACAAAGAGAATAATGAGTTGTTATTGTATAATATTAGTATAGACACTTTGTGTAAACAGTACGAGTCGTGGTATGAAAATGTTATAGTGAATGGTGTAAACTTATACTTTAAATTAGATAGTGGCGCCGATGCGTCTGTCATGTCTTTATTTTCTTATAATAATGCAGGATTTAAGAAATGTCAACTTAGTAAGTGTGCCACAGTATTAAGAGAAATAAGCAAAAATAAATTGCCCGTGATTGGTTACTTCGATGCTATGATACAATATAAACAACGTAGTTGTAAAGAAAGAATTTATGTGTTAGAAGTTAACTGCAATAATTTATTAAGTTTAAGGGCGTGTGTATGTCTAGAATTAATATTGCGGTCTAATGAATTATCTGTAAACGGTATGTACATTGATGAGTCAGTCTTTCAAGGTATGGGTTGTTTGCCGTCTGTTTGTAGAATCGTTATCGACGAAACCGTACCGCCCGTGGTAAATGCCACCCGTAAAATTCCTATTAAGTTGCGTCCTAGATTAAAACAGGAACTTGATAACATGGTAAAACAAAATATAATAATTAAAGAAGAGGGCCCAACCTGAGGGCCAAACCCCGACTGGGTATCGAATATTGTAGTAGTACAGAAGCCTGATAAGTCATTACGTGTATGTTTGGATCCTAGGAATTTAAATAGAGCTATTAAACGAAGTCAATTTCTGCTGCCTACACTGGACGAAATTGCTAGTAATCTGTCTGGAGCTAAGTATTTCTCTAAATGTGATGCTAAGAAGGGCTTTTGGATGCAAAAATTGGATGATTGTAGTTCTAAGCTTTGTACGTTTAGCACGCCGTTCGGAAGGTATAGATTTTTAAGAATGCCGTTTGGTATTAATTCAGCTCCGGAAATATTCCATAATGAAATGTATAAAATATTTAAAATTGAGGGTGTCGAAGTTTACATAGACGACCTATTAATATGGGGTAAAACTCGTGAGGAACATGACTCACGATTAAGGGAGGTAATTCGTAGGGCTAAAGAAAACGGTGTAAAATTTAATAAAGAAAAATGTTTATTTGGTTCAAAACAAGTAACGTTTTTAGGTCATATTTTTAGTGCTAGTGGGATGCAACCAGACAATAATAGGGTCAAAGCTATACTGGATATTCCAACACCTATAGACAGAAAGGAACTAGAACGGTTTTTAGGCGTAACTAATTATTTGTCCCGATTTATACCTAATTATTCAGACATTGCATCTCCATTGCGCGAATTATTAAAAAAGAATATACTTTTCGAGTGGCTTGAGGTACATGAAAAATCATTTAGATTATTAAAAGATAAAATTAGCAGCGCCCCTGTATTACGTTATTATTCTCCGCACGAACCGGTTACTGTATCAGTGGATGCCAGTTCGCGCGGGCTGGGTGCATGCTTACTGCAGGGGGGGCAGCCGGTAGCATACGCGGCGCGCACACTTACACCGGCTGAGTCGAGATGGGCACAGATTGAAAAAGAAATGCTGGCCGTAGTTTTCGGATGCCTTAGGTTTCACCAATACGTTTACGGACACGATAAGGTTACAATCGAGAGTGACCACAAACCGTTAGAGGCCATTTTGAAAAAACAATTGAATGAAACTCCGGTCCGGCTTCAACGAATGCTATTAAAACTGCAACGTTATTCTGTACAATTAAAATATAAACCGGGTAGATTATTATATATAGCCGATACACTATCTCGCGCGGCAACGGATCGAAGTAGGGATGACGATGAAACGTATGATGAAGTGCTGATACATGTTAACACGTTATATGAAAATGTTGAAGCGAGTTCTATAATGTTAAATAAAATTAAAGAGGAATCAATAAAGGACGTGGTCTTAAATAAAGTTTCGGATTATTATTTTACAGGTTGGCCATCTAACAAAAGAGATGTAACTTCTTTAATAAAACCTTTTTGGAATGTTCACAATGAAATACATGTAGTTAATAGTATTTTATTCAAAGGGGATAGGGTTATTATACCAGATTCGTTGCGTAATGAAATGTTATCCCGGATACACGAGGGACATTTAGGTGTAGAAAAATGTCAGAGAAGAGCGCGTGAAGTCATATGGTGGCCGGGTATGTCTGCCGCCATTGAACGTGCGGTACTTAACTGTCAGACTTGCCAACGGCACCGCGCGGCCAACCCTCGCGAGCCGCTGGTGCCACATCCTATTCCTCGCCTACCCTGGGAAATCGTGGCGGCCGATATATTCGAGTTCAAAAATAAATACTATTTGTTAGTCGTAGATTACTACTCAAAATTTTTAGAAGTTACACAGATACCTAACTTACTCAGTTCATCGGTTATACATGTCATGAAAGATATTTTTAGTCGCTTTGGAATACCGGAAAAACTTGTTACTGATAACGGCACCCAATTTACGTCACAAGAATTTTGTAATTTTTCTAAGTCTTGGGAATTCAATCACGTGACTAGCTCGCCACTTTATCCCAGGTCAAATGGTCTCGCAGAGCGTAATGTACGAACTATAAAAACATTATTACTTAAATCTCACGAAAATGGTGAAGACTGGCATTTAGCGTTACTTAATTTTAGAAATACACCAATTACAGGGGAGGTTTATTCACCAGCACAGTTATTAATGAACCGCCGATTGAAAACCAAGCTACCTGCTACCGATAAGTTGTTAGAATCCAATCCAGTCTCTTATAATGATAACTTTAAATATAGATTAAATAATATTAAAAAAGGCAAAAAGTATTATGACCGTGGTACACGAAATTTAGTGCCAGTGTATCCCCACGAAAACGTACGCATGAGGCAGAAAAATGTATGGGTAAAGGCCAAGGTTAAAAAACAAGAGCATGGTAATCGTTCATACTGGTTGGAAACTGAAAATGGTGGAAGGTACCGTAGAAACCGTACGGATATTTTAAAATTACCTAATTCGAAAAGCGATTGCGTAATAAATCGTAAAGAGAATAATTATTATAGTAAGTATTTAGATTGGGACGATAGTGAGACGGTGCCATCAACGAGTTCATCCTTTCGCGTAACGGGACACGGCAACGAGGCCAAAACTCAGGAGGACAATACTCAGGGTGTTCAGGCACAGGTAAAAACTACGAGCAGCGGCCGCGTAGTAAGGTCACCCGAACGATTTGTTTGTCAATAGAAATATACAAGATGCGTAATAATACATACATATATACCTTCAACATATTAGGTAGCCCTAATTATGAATACTGATTCATCTGTGTGCATACCGTATATTATTGTATAATAATAAAAACAAAAAAAAAAAAAAAAAAAAAAAAAAAAAAAAAAAAAAAAAAAAAAAAGCAAGTGTTGATTATAATGTGTTGCATGCATCAATTTAAATTAATTAAATTCATACATATTGTTATTTCATCAATGCTTAGTCTAATATTATAGTTATACTACAGCTCATTGATTACAGTTGATTCTAAAACATGTTTAATAACTATTTGATTTAAAATAATAAGATTTTAATAAAAATACGGGATAGTTAATAGTTTGTATGTTTTATAAATATTTGTAGCCACATTGTATACAGTGTACTCCTAATTTACATAAAAAAAAAAATAATAATGTCTAGTGAATATAACTTTATTACTGTAGAGGGAAGATGTAGTGGGTATGTTGTACATTAACATATAACTATTATTGTAGAACTTGAAGGTAGGTCTATTAGTTAAATAAATCAGTTGTCATCCAAACGTTGTTTGATTCGATACACATACAACACTAAGCATATACCGTTAGCGCAGGCGGGTCATCTGCTATTATAACCTATTGAAAAAAATATATTATACCATAGGTTTCTGATTTAGGATATTTAAAATAACACTACATAATACAAATACATGAAAACGTACTTTATTAAAAAAACATAAAATATAACATTTGTCATTTCCATAAACAATAAATTGCAAATAAAAAATAAATTGTGAATGCACTTAAAATGCGAGTTTACCAAAGAGAAGGTACGCAGATATTTTTATAAGTTTTAATAATAAATATATAAAAAATGTGTAACATTTCAAGAGAAATAATAAAGCACGTAGAAATTACAGCTAAAATCGCACAGTAACTATATTAACATGGGTGGGGTGACCTTTCAAGTCAACCAGGACCGAGTTGACCCCGTGTGGTCAGTTTTGCCGAGTTGTTCATGTTGACCTAAAGGCTTTTGGAATGAGCAATCGGTGGTTGAAAGAATACTGTTAGCATTTGTAACCTGAAGTTTTTACTTCGGGGTAGGAAATATAGGGCTCGCCTGATGGTAGCGGCTATTGCAGCTCGTAAGCTCTGGCAAAACCAGTGGCATCACTTCACGCGATTCGGACTTATCACATGAAGACCTTAGTATAATTATTATATACTTATGTGCTATTGTAGTGTGTGCAATGCCTTATAGTCGACGCTCTCTGGTATTTCTTTGCTTAGTTTGTAATTTTATAAATATATGTTATTATTTGACAAATTTCTTTCTTGCTTAGCTTAGACTGAGATGCCAACAAGAATCCTACTATAAGTGTGAGATTTTTGACCTTCCAATTCCATTTAAGTAATTATAACCCATTGCAATTGTTCAAAATAATGAGCGGTTCCTCAACCGTTCATTGTTTTTAATCAGATTTATTTTTCTTCGTACGAGGTTTAATGTTCTAAGGATGGAAACACCGCGCGAGCGTGCATAACCCGCATATAATAACTAACGTTTGTAGACGATTTTATACAAAAAAAAGTTTATAGTCGTTTTCCCATATTTTACCCAATTTAAAATATTTTTTAAATGGCGGTCTATAAGGAATTGCATTTATTTTATGACACTGTTGTATGCAAGCATAGTACTTTATATTAACAAGACTTAATATACTATTGAATACAATAATGTGAACACTAAATTACATAAATTTAGAAAAATACTTTTTTAGTAATTAAAAATTAGGTAAGTACCTATATTTAATTAGTATTGTTTACCCGTATTTGTTGTTACAATTAACATTTGTGACATTGTAAGTTATAAAATCAACATATATCGTTGCATTGGTTGGGGTTTCTACTTTCAGTTAACATATGCAACATATTACAAAGTCTAATTAAATAATAAATTTTATGCACTGTCAAAATTAATCTCAGAGTATTGATACATCTTATAACTCCTAACATACCTTATGAAACGGCAGGTCTACCCTGGAGTCTTATCTTAGTAGTTACTTAAATGGACGCCGTTTTTGTATATGAAGTTCGTTTGAAAAGTAATCGTGACTAAATCAAATAAATCTTTAAACATTGAGTTCATTGACTACTTAATGAAGAATTAATATGTCACTAGAGTATAACGCAAGGGTATGAAAATGCAAAACAGCTCATTCCAACATTATTATAGAATTAGATTCCAGAGTGACCCGCAAAGTAGTATCTTTATACATTTAAATAAATCTTTTTGCGTTATATATACACGTTTATATTAAAATGGACTACATGTATATAAAGTTTCGACTGGAGGTATAGAATATTCAGCCTTCAGCTTAACAATATAAGGCATGTTTTAGGCATTTGTTAGTTCTAGTAAACTGTGCGATTTAGCCAGTCATCCATCGAGAAGGTAGCGTAGTCACCGCCCGAAGATCTCGACTTGAAGATGCCTGAAAATATTAAATTTAATTAGAAAACATGTATATAACTGTTGCGGACAAAACAGTTAGTAAGCATGTGATTTGTTTGGTATTTTTACAGAATTCTTACACTGTTTAAAAAGTAAAATTTATACTGAAAATTGAATAAATTATTGTAAAATATAAAAATAATTCTGTAAAATACACAAACGTGCGTGCACATTATCAAATGCGACGTGTATTTTAATTAAAAATACATATATGAATCATCAATTTCTAAGGTATATAAATATAAAGAAAAAGGTTTATATACCGTCGCAAATGAGGTCATACACTTTCCAGGAGTCGCTTTAATCAGTCAATATTAACAATTTTAATTGTGACTTTATATATTGGAATATATAAACCATAAGCAAGTTACTTTCACTTACATATAAATATAAACAATGCTTTTATAAAATGAATATTTTAAATTTAAATATATATCGAAACGATATATATGTATAATGATTGTTCATATATTAATATAAGTGTTTATACAGTGCAATTTGATATATTAGCGACTCGTGTAAAGCGTGAGAGTGCGGTTGGTCTATAAATGTGACCATTTGGTTTGGTATACTTGTGTATTCGAAGGAGGACGCTGTCGGCGTTCACTGGTTCCACTGCAGTTCCCTCTCCAGGTTTTCGAGGGGTTCGTTCTTTGCTGTTTTTTGTATATGTTATTTAGAAAAAAATACTTATATCTTACTATATATGTATAGAAATTCAATGAAAGATATATATAGATACAAGACTGTAGTAAATTGTCTATGAAGGCTACGTTAAATATAAAACTTATACATTTTACAAGCTACCAGCTACATATTAACCTTCCTCTTGAATCACTCTATCTACTGCTAAAACTTACATTAAAATCCGTTGCGTAGTTTAAAAGATCTATGCAAATAGACAGCGGCAGCGACATCATTTTATACTATGTGAAGATTACTCAATTAACCTGATCATGGCACCAAGTGGAATTACTGTATCTATTTTTTTTATATACTACATAGCATTTTTATGTAATTGGAATGACAATCTGACGGACCACCTGATGGTAAGTGGTAACCGTCACCTATATACATGAACAGCCCTATAGATATCATGGGGTTTTGTGACTCAGGCATTCTATGGCTTCCTTTTCCGGAAGACTAAGACTATTTTCACTGCCTTTTAATCGAAAAACAGTGTACCAAGATAGCTTTCTATAAAAGAATCATTTTTTTTAAAAACCGTTAAGTATTTTTAGAGTATTTTTCATCTCAGGACCATTTACACAGCGCCATCTAGTCCCAAAATAAGCAGACATTGTATTATGAATACTAGATAACTGATATAAATTAAAAAAATATTAGATACATTTTTACCATTAACATTTAACATTACATTACCAAATTTTTTGGTACAAACATTTTTATTCATGAATACATATGTTTGTGTGGAATCGAACCTGCGACCATCGGGAGTAAGGCGGAGTGCTAAACCGCTAAACAATCGAGGCCGTCTAATTAAAAATAATATTACTCAGCTTATTGGGTATACAAAATGGTATAATATGTCTACTTACCGATCATGGTTTTGAGTCGCACAGCGCACATGATGAAGTTGTCAAAGTGGATATAGCCGTCAGATGAACCGTATCTAAATAAGAATTTTAATATATTATTCATATATACATTAACGGTGTTTGACACGAATAATATTATGGTAAATAAAATACCTTTATTTACCACAACGTTATTCGTACTAAAACCCGATGAGCTTGCGTTAAAATCATGACTTGAACTCACGATTTTTTTGTTTAAGTCAAGTAAAAGTAAGTCGAGGTTTTACCACCGGGCCAGAACAGTTATTTGATACCGCTTATTGGATATCATAGTGGATTTAATAATGGGAAATTATTACGCAATATTATCAGGAAAAAATACCATATTTTACGACGTCTTTCAACACATTTGTAAATAAACTCAATCATTAAACTCTGATGTTGGTTTCCAGCAGTTTTACTTTTTTAAATCAGTGCGATGCCTAATGTCTTTTATCGGCGTCGAAATTTTATTAAAAAAAATAGCAAATAGTCCTGTTATGGAATATAACTTTACTGGCGGAAGGGAATCATTAGTTATGTGAACTGATAACCCTATTGCTAGCAACGTTAGGTTGAATTCCTGGTGAATTTATCACGATGGGCTAACTGACTTGACCTCATCCTCACCCTATTATTATGTTTCACTAGTGCCCCACCAGCGTAAACCGTTAGCGTAGGCGGGTAAAACATACCATTATCATACATTAAAAAAATATAATTTCACTATTTTCGTTTATAACGCACTTGTGTTTTATGAGCTGCTTTTATATCGAGAATTGATGACATTAGATCCGCTTTACGAGTAAATGTGTTAAAAATTTAAAACGAAGATTATTGTTTTACCTGTGTGCAAGAACGTTGAGTATGTGTGCGTTGACAGTGTAGCCGGCGGAGTGGAGTGCATCTCTCAAGTGGTAGGATGGTATACCACCACGGCCCTCTGTGTCGTAGAGTCGGAACACCTCCTATGATTTAATCATAACATTTATATTAATGTAAGTTTATTAGTGATTTAGTATATAATGATCTATATTGTATGTGTTTGACTTTTGCAATAACTGTTGTGAAATAACTATTTATAGTTTTCTAGATGTGCCCGCGGTTTCATCCGTGTTAAATTTCAATATAAAATATAACCTATTTATTAAGCATATGCATAAGCTATATTACTGTAAAGTTTCATCAAAAACTCTTCAGTAGTTTTTGCGTGAAAAAGTAACAAACGTCCATACTTACAAACATTCGCATTTATAATATTATTACTATAAGATGTAGATATTTCTGAGACTTTATAAGTATTGTAAATTAATATCACTAGTTAAACGATATAAGTTCTTTAACGACTTAATAAGAGAGTTGAGCATGAGAGTTTTAGAAAGGCTAAGCTGGGGCATGGCACTATAAAGGTTGGGATACACTGCTCTAGATGGTGCTGTGTGAACTGTGAATAGTCCCGGGGCACTGTTATCTAAGGCGGGTCACCACCTGCTGTACACTTCACAACTATATTTATTATATGATTCATATTTGTATATCCTTCAGATTTATATAGCAAATTTATAAAGTGATAAAAATAAAATTATCTATCAATTGAAATATAGATTTCCAATAGAAAAACGAAATATTAGATAACTTTCAAGTGTATATTAAACATCTTTTAAGTGAAATTTAATTTCATTTAGTTTTTGACCTGTTGGTATTAAGTAGAAAATATATATTGACTAGATTACCTTATGTATGACACATACTCTATATATGTAATCTTAACATAGTGTAAAGCCACCCCCACAGACTGTTCGCTTATTTCTTTTAAATTACGCAACGAATTTTAATGCAGTTTTAGCAATCAATAGAGTGATTCAAAAGGAAGTTTTAGATGTATAATACCTGCGTGTTAGTATTGTATAGAACAAGCCGAGAAATTAATATATTTATAATGCATGCGTGCGAAGATACGACGGGTCGCTAGTATATTATTAAAACTAATGTGTTTGTTCGTTTATTTAATTAAACGTAGTACGTTCCTAATAATGTGTGACGTATGGATGATGATTATGATGATGTTAATGATGACGATGATGTCAGTATTAAGTTGTAATTGTATACATAACGTAAAACGTGTAAGAATAAATGCAATACTATATACATATATAATAATGTACTGACCCTCCATTTGCGCAGATCGATCCATAACTCCTTGAACTCTTCGAAACCAAGTCCACCCGAACCATCTTTATCCAACATGGAAATCATACTTCTGCATACGTCCTGGGAGAATCCTTGGCCTTTCAGTTCTGAAAAACATCAATTATATCAGAATGTGATATGTTTCTATAAACTTAATACACGCGCATTTTTAATACGCAGTAAATGTCTATAAACAGTGTTTAACCTTATATCGTAACCAATAAGGCTCAGAATTCAATATACAAATACTTTTTTTTAAGTAGCCAGATTCCTCACAACATGACCACGTCGAATGTAATCCAATAATTTTATGTTTTGTATGTTTATTTATTATGGGTAAAGTAAAAAATACCACTTCAAATATATTACTACAACATTATCTTTTTTTCGAACAAGCAATTTCAAAAGCTCTTGGCCATAGCTGGTTTTTACAAAATTGTCGGACGAAAATGAGGAGGTGCAGGCAATTTTTATTATGCAGTGAAATTACAAAATATAACAACATTAACGGACTTGGAACCCCAATAAAACAACTCATGAGTGGTCACATGATAACGTGAGATCCGTGATGACGATTATAAGTAACATTTACAAATTAAATTTATTAATTAAAATGTTATTTGTTATCTCATTTCTATATAAAAAAATATTGTAATTAAATAGAAAGGCTTAAAAAAAACAATACACGATATCTTATTACATTATCAGATAACGCAATAAACTAATCGTACTTGCTATTTATAGATAAGAAAATTAATGAAAAGATAAGTGATGCAGCACTAAAAAAAACAAAGTATATTTGTATATTGTACTTAGGATATTATCTGAAATCACAATATGGGACACAAATATTATCATAAATTTATATCAAATTATATACACCTAATAATACTTCTTAGCAATTCTTTATTTCTCGGTCTCGTGGTGTACCGGTTTACCACACCACTTTACTTCCGAACGTGCAGAGCAGGGCAGAGGCCCACGTACTAGAGAGTACACCAGGCAAACAGGCAGACATACCATATATTTTTATATAATTGCTGATTACATTCATGAAGTATCTAAATTCATACGTGTGTATGCAAGGAGTAGCAATTACCATCAGTTAGATCGTGGCTTGTTTGCCAATACAAGTTGAAAAAAAATAGATGTCACCGAAAATATTAAAATATAAAAATATCAAATCATAAGAAATAGAAATGATCTTTATTCAAATAAACTTAATATAAGCACTTTTAAATAGTCACATTTTTTTATTCTACCGCTCATTTGGAACGCAGACGTATCACAAGAAGAATGAGCAAAAACTTGTGTGTTGCTCTTTTAAATAAATGGTGTTTTAAGTAGCTGATGAGAATAGAGCTAAAGAATATAAAATGTACTTCATAATCGTTTGTAAAGAATCTGGCTACAATAACGCATCAATTTCATAAAAATTACAACTTAGTAAGAGACTATTTAGACCGTAATCACGGGAAATAATTTCTTACGTAAATTGTTAACAGCAGAGAACTTCAATTTGAACTGTAGTCAACGATACTTCAAATTATAATCAGCTACAATTCATATTGATTTCAAAATTTTAAGTAGAAGAAAGAATCGTAGTCATAAATTCATAGTTTCATGCTCGGCTTTTTCGTTATTTTTACGGAAATTGAGGTTTGTCACTTACTAATCTACTAAATAAATATAAAATAACTTATTTTAAAATGCCCATTTTTGTACTTATATATATTACAAGTGCCAAATAATAATAAAACTAATACATGCATCAAGCAGCTTAAAATGTAAACATTAACAAGTATATTGGTAATATTTACATTTCTTGTGGTTAAAAGCGTAAAGCAATACATTATACATGTAAAATAATGATTCATAATAATATATTGGAACAATTAAAATAACTAACTGAAAATAAAATCATTATTTTACATAAAAACATAAAATAATTAAAAAAAATACAGATAAAATAGCGCCTAAATGTCTCGTCGAATCTGTAAATAAATGATTAAAAAAACATTGAACATAGACAAAAATTGACTGTGATGCCTCCATTTCTATAAAAAATTAAAACAATAATGGCAGCAACGATATCATGCAGCGATGTTACTGGAATCCTGTAAAAATATCATTATTAATGTGACGACACAAAAATACCTAATCTTTTCATAGTTTCGGTTTACAAAGGAATCAAACTTGAATTAAACAATTTGAGAATTTATACAAAATATTTTTTTATTAACCAAGTATAAAATGCATAGACTACAGCCTTTGCGCGCATTATTATATTACGTAACACATGTGCGCGCGTGTTTCAACAATGTAATGGTTTTGAAAAAAAAACAATATGAGAATCTACAGTTCGTGTTAAACAATTTTAATAAAATTACAGTATACCATAGCACAATATTATAACTAATACCTGTGTACTATGAAAGTGCTATCACGTCATATTTATCATTTTTATATACAACTAGCCGTTACCTGAGACTTCGTCCGCGTGGAACTAAAATAAATAACATTTAGCTATCTGCGAGTGAAAGTCCCTTCGAAAACTGTCTAGCCGTTTCAGAGTTTAGCAATAACAAATAAACGGACTGACGGACGGATTACTTTTTTTATGTACTGTATACACTTTCATATGCATTTAGTTAAAAGCTGTTAATTTAAAATTACAGACACTATAATATTACTTATTGGTATTAATTATATATTATATATAACTGCTAGGCCGGTAGCCGGCAAGTATAACATTACTTTATCAATAATAGATCCTTAACTGCATTTATCGCACATCACAACTACTTTAGAACCGACTTCAAGAAGTAGTTTCTCAAATGAACCAAATTTTATGTGTGTTACGAACATAAGAACTTTTTTTTACGTAGACCGATTTAGTATATTTTTTTTTTATATGTAACCTGGCGCATCCATCTTGTGGTCATTTGATCAATATCTGACTAGTAGTTTTTTAATTATTCTTATAAACGTGAATGACATAAAATGCATAAAATGTCATGCTTAATTTTACGGACTATGTGTCTGCTATGTCTAGACAAAATATAGTCTATATTCCGTGCCCGTGATACAATCTATTTAGACAAGTATCTGTACCTGTCCGTATAAATATTTTTAATTGAATATCAGTATAGTTATCGCAGCGATGCCAGAAATATGCAATATGTCAATACTATCCGGCCCCGGATGGACCAATTGCACTAAAATCCGTCGTAATGCGCGCAAAGGCCGACATCCCTGTACCTTGAGGCTGCGGCTGCGTGAGGTGCACTTGTTCCGAGCCCTGCTGCTGAACCTGCTGCAGGTCCACCCCCAACTCCTTGCAGATGGGCGAGCACAACGCACATAACAACTGTTCCAGGCAGCTTTGCTCTTGTGGGGGGGAACTGCCGCCCCCTCCACCCGGAACCCCGCCGCCGTCGTACGCCCCGCCGCGGCGCATTGCCAACTCTGCAGGGCGATGGTTATATTGAGCCATGGCCCTTATATCGACCAAATTTCGGTTCAAACTACCACAAATGGTGCTTTGCTGACTTTATAGCAGACTCCGAAATGCCACCAAAAATACTTATTAATTAAAATTCGACTTTATGGTGTATATTGTTTTAATACTATATTAAGTTATTACAACGATATATACATATATATAGACATATACTCGTATGCATGTGCAGTATGAGATTAAACGATATTATATATTATTTATATATAATCGTATATATATAACTTTAATGTAAAAAAGGTAACAGTACATTTGGCGAACTTAACACCATGCGGTATTTTCTATCAGTTAATCACAGTTGTGCTGAGAATAAATGTGGGAGGTGCAAATATAATCATAAAAATGTCTAGGCATAAAAAGTTAAATATATAAAATATATTTACTTTTGACTTTGTAATGTATGTATATTATTGTATATATACCATATATAATACAAATCTTCATTGTACACGTCACAGCACTTAGTACAATTGATATGCTACATTAATGAGATAGTAAGTATCATATATAGTATGAATGAGTAGCTCAGTTGGAGCTCTGCTGTTACAACTTCGAGTGATATCAATTCACGTAACTTCTACAATCCACTTTAAACAGTCTATCAACTTAAGGTCTACTAATTAACATGAAAAATATATGCTTAATGTATATATGTACTTTACTAATACAAAACGTTGATTACTCTTCAAGTATCACGAGTTTAAATCAATAAAAAAATGGTGTTCGTACAATATAGCGTGCTAAAAAATTAATATATTAAAAATAAATAAATTTGTCATAAAACTAAAAATATTATTTGTCACAATAGTAGTACAGTCACATCCAAAAATATATATAAGAAATAAAATAACAATAGTACAATTATGCTAATAACAAATATAACTATATGAAAATATTAAAATATAACAAAAAGCAAATGAATTATACTTTTGGAAGTCACTACATAAATATGTCACAATTATAAGTATGTTTTGTACTTACATACATCATATCTTCAAACGGTAGCAAAACAAAACCACAAAAGCCGCTTTAAGTTTGACACATAAAGCATTACAACATGGAAAGCTCAAAAATGGGCATTAAAAAATAAATATCCGATGTAATGGACAATATAGAGAAACAGATATAATACTCGTATTGTATCCATTGGTTTAGACGCGCTTTTGTTAGTTTTTGCCGTTTTTAAGGCTTTTTATGTTATTTCCTGCATTCCATGTCTTCAGCAAGAATAATACAGCACCAATTATATAGTGCTATTAATGTACAGTCAACAATAATATTTTGTTAATTATAGATAACACAATATAGATGTCTTCTTAAAACGAGAATTGGCATATATTTACATTTTACTTTAACAAATTGTATTTTGAAAGTCAATTCAAAGAATTTGTACGGAATTTGGCCACTTATTCAAGTCAAATTTTTCATCACTAGCCCTAATATCCAGTTCGGGTAGTAACTTCAGTTCTGAAGAATTGGCATGAATTAAGTAGTTAATTATTTTCTTTTTTAAATAAACAAAATTAAAACATGTTAATTTTTGAGACATTTTACATTATTCTTGCTGATTGTAATAGAACCATGGTATTTTTATAGTAACAATATAAATAATATAAAGCTCAAAATAATAATATATTAAATAGAAAATATAGAAGAAGAATAATATTAACTAAACAAATATTAGTCTTTTATTTAACAAAAAAACAACATGTTTTTATGTCTACAATACATTTAAGTTAACGACATCAAGTCTACTCAAGATTTTAATAAGAACTTTCAGTTTTTTTTTACCAAATTAAGACATAAATTAAATTAAAATACTCTTTACTGAAAATAAGAGACAAAAAGCAACCAGTACTTTAGTTTGAAGTGGCAAATAAAAAAAATATCTAAAACTATCGAGTAATTAGACTAGAACTGTATACTGTATTATGACAGACGATAGGAATCATTGCATGATATCATACTGACCCGACCCCAAATAATGGGGTAAAGGCAAAGAATTGAAGAAAACCTTACAATATAACAACTACGAAAAATTACAAAGCAATTATGTTATTCAATAACGCTTACAGCATTTAAATTAATTTTGATACACAATTAAATCCTAGATTAATATATATCGTACTATCTTTATCCAAGCAAGCTAAACCGCGGGTTACCACCTAGTATTACTATCATATAAAGCCGGTCATTGGCGAATAAGGGATTACTTTCGTGATCGTATTTTTGGCGTTGTATATATTAAATTATAAAAATAAAGTTTCTTTATAATAAATATGAAAGTACGTACCTTCCCTCATGGCATAGTCAAGTATCTCCTTAAGTTCCTGCCAGTCAACTTGACCGTCACTTCCGGCCAGTCGGTTGAAGAAATCTTTCACAGGGTCGGCGGGTGTAGGGTCTGCTGGTAGCACATCCTTGACCTGTTTAATAGCCATAAATTAATTAATAACAAATTCATGCCACAAAATAATTAATATTATACATTAAAGATAACTCATAACTATTGGTCCAATCTTTGTCTAATTTATATGTCAAAAATAAAAGAAATATTTACCATAATATTATATTTAGATTATATTTGCATTCCGAATAATTGTAAATCTTATTAAAAAAAACTCACCCTGTCGTCCACTTCACCAATCCCGACATCTTCATCATTTTCACTGTAAAAAAAAATAAAATATTAGAATAAATACTAAAAAGTTTTATTCTGCAAATTGTTATAGTTGCTACACTAAAAATAACACTTATATAATACAGTGTAATACATCAAATTTAAAGATGTTTAATTTAATAATTATTATATTATTATTATTGTCTCATTTTCACAGCTTTTGCTGTTTTTTTACGCTTTATGACGTATACCACACTTAACCACGAAAGTGCAGTGTGTGTGTATGTGTGTGCGTGTGTGAGTTACTGTGTGTACTTATTGTGAGCTTTTTAATTTACATGACAGACGTTTTTCATTTTCGTCTATTTCCAGGAATTATCGGCCAATTTTACTGGTATTCATATTATTATTATTAACGACAAACGTCCTTACGCCATATTGTTGCATTTTTCAGAGAACACGCGCACCAAGAACTCTCCTTCCTCGTCTGGTTCGAAGGTGGACGGCACTATCACGTACGTGCCCGGCTCGAATTTGAATCTAAAACAATGTTGAAGTGTTACTCACATATCAGAATATATATATAAAAAAAAATAACCACCCCTGGGTGATGGAAGTCGCAAGTCGAAGAAGAGATTGAAGAAAGGCGTAGGCTTTCGTAACCTACGTCGTAATTGCGTCGACACACTGTTATAAGAGCCTACATCATGGTATTATAATACGTGTCATAATCTTCATTAATATGTGAAGCAAAAAGTTTAGAGGAGTGCAGAATGTAAAAAATATAAAAAGTAAAACATATAAAAATATAAATACATGAATACAATAAAAAAAATATTACACATATTACCATGTATTTGCGACACTCACGCACATATACTCTTGTTTATTGTTAAAGTCTGTGGTCATATTGAGAATAGATTAACATTGTTTATTTTTCTATTATTTTTATAGTTTAAAGCAATTCAATTGAATTTCTTGCCCATTCTTTTCAATTGAAAATACTGAACTGGACGGTAGAGAAAAAATATTAATATAAAATATTTGCCATTCATAAACGGCTAAAATGTTCTGCATGAATAAATAATATTTGATTTGATTTAATAACATTTATCTACAGTAGTAGTAGTACATTATATGTTAGTAGTAATTATGGCATTTAGCTAATGCCATAACCTTAATAAATTCACTAATTGCAATATTATTAAATTAATTACGGCCGAATGTCGACCACTGGGCGACCACTAGTTCTTATAATAATAAATAATGTAATACCAACCTGGCACTGACTTCCCGAAGATTGATGAAGGCTTGCGAGCGACCAACGGAAGCATTATACTTGAAGAAGTTGAGGTCAAGTGGTTTTGGCACGTGGCCATAATCCGGCAGGCGGTAGACAGCGAAACCAATCGTGAGACACTCCAGACCCTGGTGCCGTTGCGAGCGCCGGTTCTTTTGCATAAGGGCCACGATGATCTAGAATAAAAAATAATATAATTTAACGTTTCTCCTTACAGTAAGTACATAAATAACTTTGTGATATGATGGCCTCATCCACACCGCTTTACTTCCGATGGTTGCGGGTTCTATTCCTCGCACGGTGCAAACATTTGTAGTCAAAGTATGATTGTTTGTCTTCAATCTGGGTGTTTTCTATGTTTTTACTAAAAAAAATATCTAAGTATTTATATCAGTTGTCTAGTACCCATAACACAAGCTCTGCATACCATAGTACTAGATGGCGCCGTACCTCTCCAGATAACATAGATTGAAATTCAGTGTAAAGTCAGTCTACATTTTGACTCCGCGTCGAATGTACGCGTTACTAATAAACCATATAGCACACAACCAAACATACTTAATATGTACAATATATAGTACAATTATTTCACTGGTATACTCACTACCTAGATATTCTAATAAAAACATAAATGATGTATCGACACCTCATCACATCATATATAACTCTAAATGGTGATGCAATAACTATCGAAGTACAGGTGTACAGGTGTACAGGTGTATGACCTACCGTGCATTTATTCTCATCATCCCCTTCATCGACGTCGGTGAGGGTGACCATGTATTGTGGATTCCGCCAGAACGTGTCCAGATAATTCCTGCAACCTCCAGCTGTCACACCTGCAACATTATAAACACATTTTCATATCATTCAAATATCTCAGAAAGCTGCTTGACAGCTGGAATAGGAAAGACAGAGTACCCCTTGACTTTACTATTTCAGCAGATGACTTTGTACGAAGTCTACATCACTAGCTGCCTTTACACGTACGCTTTTACAAACGGGAAATCGCAGGAAATGTAATGTAAATGTAGACAAAGATAATGAGAAAAACCGCGCGGGCTTTAGCATCTTTTTGTAATAAGTAATTATCATTGTAAAATGGTAATGATATCTGAATATTGAGCAAAGACATAATTATAGAGTTATTGATAATTTATAAATCTATTTGATTTACTTACTTAGAATCATATTTCGTTAAGTAACAAATTAAAATCTGAATTTACGATGTAAAAACAAGTTTCTTACCTCTAACCCATTCTCCTTCAAACACGGACATCTCCCATTTCTTAGTGCAGCCTTCTGGACACTCCTCAGGGTCCAGGGAATCAGGGTTCAAGTTACAGATTTCTACTCTGAAATTAACAAATACACCTGATTGAATAAATCCAGATAGACATGGGTACAAAAATATATTAATTTTATTCCAGTTTAGTAGAACCGCCATTTATATGACACAAAAAATTAGGTGTATTAGTAAACTTACCTTGAAAAATGTGTGACGAAATCTTTGAAGGACATCCAAAATTCACCATCGTCATCAAAGGTAAGACCCAGTTCCTCCTTTTCCGATTCTGGTATGAATCGCCACTCTGGTGACCTGGAATTAGATTATAATAGTAATCTTATTAATATTATAAACGCGAAAGTTTGTATGTTTGTTACTCTTTCACGCAAAAACTACTGAACTGATTTTAAACTTTACAATAACAGTAGTAATGCGTAGGGATAAAGATAATATTTTAAGGAAGGTGTTACATATGAATGTGGATGGTTATAAGGGCAGAGGAAGGCCGAAAAAGAGATGGATGGATTGTGTGAAAGATGATATGGTAAGAAAGGGAGTAAATAACGAAATGACTGCGAACAGGTATGAGTGGAAGAGAAAAACATATTACACCGACCCCAAATAAATGAGATAAGGAAGAAACAGATGATGATTAAGGTATGGTGACTAACTTGTCGCTCCAGGGACCGTTCCATTCGGCCTCGTTCCCCCAGGGGTTTCGCAGCCGCAGCAGAGGTATCTTCCCGGCGCGGCCCGGGGTCTCGATGTCCACGTACTTGACGCGCGTCACGGAGTATGCGTGCCCCCGGATCAGACCCACGGGCGTCTCCGCCTCCAGGATGTGAGGGTCTGGCTGTAAGATACACGTTTTTGGCATAAAACATTGGAATGGTAAACAAGCTAAGACTTAGAATACAACTATAATGCAAGACCAAGGCGCCAAACGCTACTACACATCCTATGTGGTTGTAGCCTACTTATGGATAAGCCAAATATCTCCTTTGGAAAGTATACACTATACCCGGAGGAGATAAAAACCATCACTGCTAAGAATATCCTTCATTCTTTTCCCTGGCGGCTCTAGGTAGCGATATTTGAACAAAAAAAAGAGGGAGCAGAATATACATATCTATGTAGGTAGCAGTGCTACAGGTCTTCGCACCTGACAATGCCCAAAAGCCTCAATAAAAATAAAAGGCGCCTTTTCCAAAACCACTCGAAGATGTTAAATCTTCACTTTATAAGTTTCAACTCTTAGGAAATTCCTCGATAGATTGAACCCGCGACCACCAGAAGCCCTAAGCTAATTCGCTAGACCAACGAGACCGTCAATATGTATTATTCTTCAGTCGTTCACTCTTGGCAGACTGGTAATGGCTTTTATGGTATTATCTTGTGGTATGGTATCGTTGTGGTCTTTGAGGACAGAGCTCTTGCAATTTGCCTACACCTGGTACGATTTTTGGCTGCACTGCATTGTTGCTGTATAGCCGTTTTTATAATGTCAGTCCATCTCGTTGGTAATCGACCCCGAGAATGTCTGCTCTCTTCGATAATTGGCCACTCCATACAGTCTTCGTTCCGGCTAATATAAACAAAATACTTGAGAATAATCTATACTAATATTATAAAGCTGAAGAGTTTGTTTGTTTGTTTGAACGGGCTAATCTCTGGAACTGCTGGTTCCAATTGAAAAAATATTTTTCTAGGAATAGGAATTTGTCGAGGAAGGCTTTAAGCTATATAACATTACGCTACGAACAATGAGAGTGGAGCTGCAATGAAAAATATTACAAAAGGTGGGGAAATTAAATGCAGAAGACGTTGCGCGAGTCAGCTAGTGTATAATATAATATATGTACTCTACCTCTATACTGCATCCCATGAGGGAGTTCCTCTCGTATGCCTTCAGCAGGATGGTATAGAAGTTGGGCGGCAACTCTGCTATATCGTACATTTCTGTAACGCCGCCAGTGAAGTCCTCCATCGCCTCGCATGTTGACCCACCCTTAAGTGCTTCGTACGACCCATGTAATCTAGGATTAAAAAAAAAAATTATATTAATAATATCCTTGGACAATTCACACATCGCCTTCTAGTGCCAAGCTAAGAAGGCTCGTGTTATGGGTACTAGACAACCGATACAAATACAAAGATATTTTGGATGGATTTATGCAAAAATTACTGAACGAATTTTGATGAAACTTTACAATAATGGAGCTTATATTTGAGAAAACATATAAATTTGCAGCCATTGAAACCTCGGGCACAGCTATTTATTGAATTAGATACTCACTTGGCATAGGCTTTCTCCAGTAAGGCGCTCCAGAACTCGTTTCTCTCCGAGGAGTGGAGGAAGACCAGTTTGCCTCTGTACGTAGGCAGACGATCGTCGATTACCACGTCCACCCAACGGCCGTACTGCCAGAACCTGGATACGACATTCTTATTATTTCTTACTATTCTTATTATATTATTCTTATAGTTAGTTTTTTTTACAATTTTATATAATAATCATAACCTAGGACAATTCATACAGAGCCACCTAGTCCTATAGCAAGCAGAGCTTCTGTTATGAATACTAGTCAATGGATAGAAATACTTATATACATATATAATATACTTAGAAAACATCAAATCACAATCAATGCTGAACCGTTAGACCACTAAGCCGAGTCTAGTCATATGATTACACAAGACATTTCATATAAAAAAATAAGAAGGTACGGGAAGGTAATATACATGCAAAGAAGATTGAAATAGGATTGTTAGTAATGTGGACTTGACCCCATTGCTACCAATGTACCATGTCAGGTCGACCTCCACGCGGTTCCATCCATCCATTGAAAACCATCATAACACATTCTGATGAATTTGTCCCGAGAGACTAGACCTGACCTCATATTCATGTTATCATCCTCCACAGGTGCCCCGCCAGCGTAAACCGTTAGCGTAGGCGGGTGCACCATTCCATTATCACCCATTAAAAAAATACATGTATTAAGTTATGATTGTTACACAAACGTTAATCGGGAAGGTCAATTGTGTTAACAGAACTGATAACACAGTACCGGAAATGGAAGACGCCCGCATAATCCTCGTCGAAACTCTGATCATCCGGCACCACTTGGAAGAACAATCTGGAATTATGATAATCATTATATTAATACGCGAAGCAAACACTTTGTACCCTTTTTTATGAAAATTGAGCGGATGGAGGAGTATAAAATTTAGCTCAGTTATAATTTACATAGAGAAAGAATGCAGAATGCTATTTTAGTGCGACCACCAGTAATTTTTAAATAAAAAGTACATCTAATTTTTTCCCATACACATCAGGAGACTTAAATAAATAAATAACCCTGGATAATTACCACAATGACGTCTAATCCCATGATAAGCAGAGCTTGTGTTATGGGTACTAGACAACTGATATACATACATATTATACATAAAAAACACCAAGACACAAAAAAAAACACAATACAAAAAAACATACTCATGAATGCACCGTGCGAGGAATCGAACCCGCGACGTAAAAAGATCTAACTGTTACTTAGCAACAAGAAACTGTAATTTTAATGCGATGGAATATACTTTTCCTTCCACAACCAATGTGCCTGGGGGGAACCGGTTTCAATAGCATTTTTTATATATTTATATATTTTTTAATAGATGTTTAGTTCATTATAATCATCATATTAACGTAATGCAAGGATAAATATTTTTAGATCTATTACGTATTTATTATTTTGTAGTTTGTCCTGGTTCTAAGCACAGTTTGTGCAAGAACGAGTTGGTTTACTTTATAGGGATAAACTGCTATAGACAATTTAATATTAATGCAGTGCATTGCATTCCATTATGTTACAGTAGTTGTTAAGTTTATAATTGATACACTGTGTATCAATTGTGAACCTTATTGGGGACAACAATGAGAAGAGAATACAAGAGAGGGCGAGTTTAATCTTTATTCTGTAATTAAAATTAACATAAACTGCAATGTGAAATGTAATATCACAGTTTATGTTAATATTTTAATAAATTCAAAATTTAAGTACGTTATCTTTATTATTTATATTAAAATTGTATATAAAATATATAATTAGTTACTAGATATATATAATATATAATTAGATACTAGACTAATTATTAGATTAAAATAACTGTATGTAGAAATTAAGTTAATTATGATAGACGTTATAGTTTTATTTAATTTTACCTATATATTTAATTAATAAAATTGTGCAATATTTAATAGAATAATAATTAATTAAGTGCCTACGTACATTTGTAAAATTTTTACAAATACTGTCTCCTAATTAGGTTTTATGCTTTTAATGAATATTCCTGTTATGCAGAGTTAGTAACAACTATACCAGACCGAAACACCGGTAACAGTAATCTCAAAACTAAATAATTTATTCCAAAACAGTATACTTTATAATATCAAAAGCTTCATACAAGCTGTGGTATCAAATAAATTATATATATAATATAATTATATATTTTGAAATGTTGTAAATATATTTTAAATTGTTATGTTATGTTTAAATCGTTCTTTAGGGCTAACCCCATATATAACTATGCTAATGTAGTTTACGTTAGTATCTTTTTACTTACTTTCTGTGCAGCGTGAGATTCGCAACAGCCGCGAGCAGCCAGCAATCCCCGAGCTCTCCTTGTTGTACGTCGAAACGACTGTATCCCTCCACGAACAATTGTGGATCCTCGCATATTTCCTGCACGACAAAACATAACAGAGTATAAAATTCTTTATTCAAATATTATATAATTTAAGTTAAATTTAAACCCTTTTGAATAGGCATATTTATTTTTTAATCTACCGCTCATTCAGAGCCCTGTCTCATCACAAGAAGAACGAACAAGAAACTTGCGTATGCATGGGAACGCTCAGGCACAATCTTCAAACTTCTCTTTTAGATGACAGGACAATCTGATGACCCTTTTGATGAAAAGTGACTACTATCATCTATATAAACATTTAGATTACCATTTTCACTTTCATGGACATCATATATGTATCAGTTATTTATATATATATATATATATATATATAGTATAAGCTATTTATCATTTTACCGTTGTCTTTATCCCATAATTTAATGTCGGTCGCCGTACGTAGACTTCTTCGACTAAAGGGAAACTTAAAGGATTTATATTATTTTGTTGAATTCCGTTACCATTAGTGTATGAGACCACAGATATGCTGTGCGGAAACCTGACCATTGATACTAGAATTAAATTTTATCAGTAATGGGGAAGTTCATAACGAACTTCCCTATTACTAATCAAATTTCGACCGTTATTGTACCTACACACACGTGTTTCGTCTCTAAACGAGGCATTATCAGGCAATTAATAATTCGGATATAGCTTGGAAGCCTAGTGTTGACAGTTACGGTCAGAACACGAATCTTCTTTATACACACTCTATATATGATGACGATGATCCATGGTGCTGTTCATGTACCTATATAGACCACGGTTGCGACATACCACCAAGTGGACCGACAGCAGATTTGCCAGTTGCATAAAAATATTAAAAAACAATATGTTCTCATCCTTCGTAGTCTGCCTCAATTACCTTACTAAGTCATTCCAGTCATTCTAATACATAAAAAAACTCACGCTAGGTCTCAACCAAGTTATTGGTCTGTCGAGACGCTCTTTGTAGTACAGACTGCGATCAATAGCAGGAAACTCGGGGTCTTCGAACAGTCTTCCGTCAGCTAAGCACCGAGACCGGATGTCCTTGAAGTCTTGATACGTCGCTGGACCGTACGATGATGACCTGGTCTCGCCGAGCTGTAGACATATGGTTTATTAATATAAATAACTTTGTTGACCAAATAAATTAAGATACATAAGGCGAACTTTATGCTAGAAACATTCTATACAGTAAATATTTGAGATGAACAGTCGACCGCGAATCTGTACTAATTTTATAAAGTTGAGGAGTTTGTTTGTTGTTTGAACGCGCTAATCTCAGGAACTACTGGTTCGAATTGTAAAATATTTTTATGTTGGATAGTTCATTTGTCGAGGAAGGCTTTAAGCGATATAATAAGGTAAAGGGCCATATTATGGAACATTGTACTAGTTTATGAAACAAGTGATAAAAATCTGAATTACAAATAATTTCTAACGTATTCAGTATTTATAATATTATCTTTATGATCTTTAATAACCTATTTATTGATTAAATTAATTTATTTTGGTAAACACCTTAAAATGTATAGAAAAAAAAAATAGTGAAATGCACGTGTCAGGTTGCATGAAAAAAGACTGTCTTTTAGAGTTAGAGAATGACAGGTGTCATCACAATTGTTTTAACAATTTGAAATATTTGTCAATGATTCAAAAATACTTGAAACATGTTAATCAAAAGTTTGACTTATAATCTATCGATTGATATTGAATTTAAAGTACTTTAATAAGGTATTTATTTTTTATTTAGGTGTTTCATAATTGCCGCAAAAATTTCTAAACAGACCGTATTTATGGAACAGTATATTCAGTGTTCCACATCCCCCTCACATTCGATTTTCTAAGTTGTCCGTAATTATGAAACAGCAATAAGTGGACAATATTTAGTTAATTTCGTGTTAATAATTGTTAATTAATTATAACAAAGCAATTTACGTTAGAACAGTTTATATTTATAAAAATTTGCATTTAGATAAGTACATAGATTGTAAATTTCCATGAAAATAAAAAACTAACCTCAAAAATGAATAAGCTGGATGATAAATATTGTTTTATGTTAATTAAAACATATACTTAAGTGGAAAACCTGTCTGAAAAAATTAATAACACTTTATTTTATTCAAAATTTTTACGAAGCACCTACATATCACATTTTTATAGATGTTTTTAAATTAATAATTTTTATAGGTAGATACATTTTTTTTATTGAATTTGATATCTTTATTCTATAGACTTGTTTTATATTGTTATTATTAATTTTGATTGTTTGGTATAATTTTTATAATTTGATATTGGTTGGTTTTCATGAAATAAATAAACTAACTGTCAAAGAAGTGACGTTGGTAAATTTTAATTTTTAGAGAAAGAATAGAACAGTAAGAAAATAATTTGATTAAGAATCAAGTCGAATGATAAAACTAATGATTACATGACACTTAACAATGATTGTCATTCTTCTAATAAATATTCTCCTCTGATAAATACCAGTACCCAGTCTCAACAAAGCGGCCATTCCTGAGGTAATTACTGTATGAAATTATAGTATAAAATGAACCTTTAGATATGGTTACTGAAGCTCATTCTGGTATTAATGAAAGTAGTAATTTAAATTGACTAAATTTAACTAATATTTTGTTAATATAAATTTAATATTGTGCGTAATGTTGGTGATGAATTAATATTTGAGTTGAATTTGAAGTCAAGAAAAAATGGATTAAAGTTGAGTCATCAGGTAAACTCAAACTACCTTCTGCTGGCATATCTGATCAATGGATGCAATATGACTCAAAAAAAGAAACTGATCGTAAAACTAAAGAAGAAAAGCTACATAAAAGAAAACAATTATTAAATGAGAAAAAAGTGATAGCTGATGAACGGAAAAAGCTACTAGAGAACGCATTACTACAAAGGATCAAAGAAGAAATGAAATAGTTGAATTTTTGGTTTAATTTAATGTATATTTGGTTTTTATATCTTGTTTATTAATCCTAAGATTTGAAACTGTTCTTGTCATATTTACTTTGTAAGTGAATATTTATTTATTGCTTGTTTATTCGTATAATTTTTAAATCTAACTGTATTAATAATTAATAATAAAACTTTTGATACTATGAATAAATAAATTAGTAACTGAAAAATGTTTTTAATGTGAGTACTTCAGTTCATTTTGAGTTCCATAATTTGGGACATTCCCGATGGAACACCCGTACGTGTTGCTTTAGACTGTTTCATAAATACGGCCGTATGTACTTGTCTGTTATTTTATTCAATTTATTAGCATTTTCAACTAAAACTCACTTGATAATAATTATTATCACTTCAGTAGATATCAGGCAAACTATTAACTTAGAAAAATTCAATGTTTCAACTCTATTTTTTTTTAAACAATGTAAAATATTCAACTCCTACTCAAAAGGTGTCTCATAATATGGCCCTTTACCTTACTACGATCAATATTATTCATATTTGAGGGTTTCCGTTGCGTGCACTGATAATTTTTAATTAATTATATTAATTTTAAGTTAAATGATAGTAATATAAAATTATAGATAGAAATACGGATAACACATGACTGTTATCCCGCCGGATAGTCAGAGGCTTTGTCAACGTGGTGAAGCAACACATAAAATATAAACATATCCGTAGCTATACTTGGATCCAACTATAAATCTATATACTAAATACAGCTTTCAGTATTTAGATATAATCATACTACTGAGTTTTGACTGTACGTTGATAGACGAGTCAATCGATTTTTATAAATAGATATTTCTATAATATTGTATAATTGTGCCGAATGGTTATTGAGTCTTGATATTTTTAATACAACATTTTACTACGGACTTAGTTAAGGATATCATAAATTTATAAGGTTATGTATGATGCTTGCAGCTAGAACTTTTTATATTCTTTACGTTTTTGTTTGTTTTTTTATTTCTTATACCTACATTAACTTGCATTTACGGACACAGATAACAGCTTGAAAGAAAAATAAAAAACTATACTGTTAAATGGCTAAATTGTGTTTATTCTACGTTTAACAATTTTATAAGGAAGTTATTCGCATTACGAAGCAGATGTCGAAACTCCTAGCAACATACGCTGGTGTATTTTTTCTAATTATAAAAAAAATGTTTACTAATTCCCACATGGCCGCGTAGTCTATAATGTAGTATACAATGTCTATAATTTTGACACAATCCAGAGTAATACTTTGTGCAAGTCCTCTGTGTGCACCTCTATCTCACATAAATCTATCTCTAGCTTGCTTTCTAACCTAACTAGGTACTGATATGAAGGATAACTTTCTGCAGTGAAATTACAGGGAAACTACAGTTTGTGATGCTTAAAAATTTTGTCCTTAGGAACGGCAACACAAATGCGTATTTTCTGTAAAGCTAGAGGTGCAATTTGCATCACGTGGGCAGCTTATTTGTCAACATATGCATTAAATATCACATATTATAATACAAGCTAACATTTCAATAATGCAATGAGGATTAATTTGTAGAGTATGAATAAAATTTATTTATATATTTAGAATTATCAACCTAATCCTGAAAAGGATGTAGGCATTATTCACTACAGACACGTAATTGTTGCGCAAATATTTGAATGAAATGCAGTAGATGATCTAAGCTAGTCGTAAAAGTCTTGGCCGAAATACAAAGATATCTGTTTTTTTTTTTTAAATAAGATATTATATCTTCTTATTATTTAAATATAAGTTTATATTCTAAAAGATATACGAAGAAAAGATGTCCATTATTAAAATTGCACCCGTGCAAATCCTACATTTATAGAATACTACATTATATTTTTTGAGTATATCCTTGACAAACAAAACATAAAGTTGTATCCGATTTAAAATATTCCTTAAGAATTATATTCAAAATTGCATAATAAAAACAATGGATTACAATTATCCTTAAAAAACCAAAACGTACAATAAAATACAATATAACGGACCCAAAATAATTGCTGGCCTGATGGCATAAACATCTTACTCCCATTGTAACTAGGTGGCAATCGCATTTTGTACGCTTTACTTGGAGACACAGGCGATATACTCGTATTCCCTGACGTAGATTTCGCATCTTCTAATATGACTTTTGGGGACGGTATTTCATCATTAGATATTCTTCCATTATTATTTACACAACTACTATACGTAACAATAACTTGTTTCACTTGTGTAACATTTTCTTTGGTAATAAATGATTCTGATTTCTCCACTTTCGTCGCCCAAATTGGACTAGAATTGACATTCAATTGTTGTAGTTTCATATGTTGTAATTCTAATATATTTGTCATAGAATTTGACTGTTTGGATGTCACTTCTGGCGAAACTTTGCACGATTTCAGCATCCTCGCCAATTGTGGAGATACAAGCGATTTGTTCTTCCACGAATTCTCACCAGCCATAACTGTTGCATTTAAATAAAATGTCTTTAAACTACCAACGTCTTTTTTACTTAATTTAACAAACGATTCTTGCACTTCACTAGACATTCTGACGTCTGTATTTTAAACCGCACTTTGTAATTATGTTTAAGTTACTGTTTTAACGATTGGAGCAGTTTTCCTAATTATCTTAACCCAAATGATCAAGGTCTACACATTTTCAATATTGTTCAGTTACTATTTTGTTGTTTCAATAAATTTATTTTGTTTCTTGTTAAATTCTGTACAGGATTTAAGAAATAAAATAGTAGTAAATACATGTAGTTACTGATGCTACATGAATAGTAATGATTTAATTTATCATATTACAAACTATTAATATAACAATTATTACAAACAAATGAAACTGAATTATTATTTAATTGTTACATCAATTAAGTTGGTATACGACATTATATAGTGTACAGTACATAATACATGTTGGTTGGTTGTTAATAACAAAAATAAGAATTATTTGTAATAATGTAGTATTAGAAGTATTCTATATTACTATCGTTTATGTATATATAAACATATTTATCTGAATTGCAGTATCGTCATAATAATAAAACTCTTTGATTAACTAAACTATATGAGTTTAGTTAATCAAAGTGTATAAAATTTAAAAATTAAATTATTTTATTTCTAATGGACTC